ATATGACACGGTACAGAATGTGTTCCACACTTCACCCAGTGCTTATACTTCTCACCCTTGTACCTTTCTAGCCAATTATCCTAATATGAATAAAGCGGACGACTGCGATGCATCCAAATGAACATACCATTATCGTTAATTTTTATTACTTCATCATAGTTGGAGGTGTCGCTAACAATGTTGAAGAATGTTAACTTGTTTCACCATTGTTTGAGTGATCAGGTTCTCATGTCGTCAATTACAAGTGTTATAACATTGATTCGTCAAAATAGGAGGAGTTTCTAAACAATACTGACATTATTCATGCTATTGTGTTTCATTTCATCCGATTTTATTTCAACAAATAGTGAATTATATTTTTATCACCATCAATCAAATAGTACAGGTGTTTTATTGACTCTTATGATAGACACATACACTTATTATTACAAAACATGTATTGCATTCAATTCCTATAGTTTGGTACCAAAACAGAAGAGAGTATCATAATACAGCGTACACAACTGTTACCGCAATACGGCAGGATCTGCGCTTATCGACACAAAGGTATGCCATGTTAGCAGTAGCGTACCATGTATACTCGAGCATAGCACATAGCCCGGTCACTGTACGGACCAAATGTTGCAGAAATGCAGTAAATGTGCCGCAACATATGTGAAACGTTCTGAGGGTCTCGCAACATGTCCCTAATACATATGTCCAGCCAGGTGCGTTTCCATTTGAATTAACTGCTGGCAGATGCTGTGCAACATGTGTTTGGATTATATGGCTGCAACTTCGGAAGCATACCTTATAGTCTAATCATATTAGCAAATCTCCCCGAAATAAATGTAAAGTCTGGTTTTATTGGTGCAAATTGTCCAAAGGGGTATCTGAAACATGGACGCATAAAATGGGTACACCAATGTTTGTACGAAAACTTTTTATTTGACAACAAAGAATGAGAAAACACACTTTTTTTAGGATTCAGTAAGTAAGTAAGTAAGTAAGTAAATTTATTAGCAGCAGATTCAACGTGTATACAGTTTTTTACATCATATTAAATATATAGACTTTACAATTATTGTATAATATTTAAATCCAGCTATCTATTCTTAAAATTACCCACTATTGCTAATAGTTTTAGATGCACAATTGTATTCAAAATACTGCGTGTGCACCCCATTCACATTGTTAAGTGTAACTTTTTCATTGAGGTTCTTAAGTCTAGTTTACAAAGAGAAAAAGAAATATAAAAATAGATCAAACAAATTCAAAGCTATTATGTTTTATCTTAAATTTTAGGAACTTAATACCTTTAATGCTACAGGTTTTTATATTACATAATTAATGGCGTATTGGCTATCAATAATCCATCTTGTTAATTCCTTTTTAAAAGTAGAATATCTCAATCTCTTAATACTATTTGGCAAATCATTATAAACTTTTGGACCTATACAGTAAACGTGACTCTGGCAAGCTGTGTGTCTAGGGTTTTACAATTTTACTTTTGCATGAGCAGCACTTCTTGTATTTTGGCCATGCTGTAAGTATTCTTTGTAGAAATCATATTTCATCATAAATCTTATAAGTGATTTTAAATAGAGCTGCTCTAGGTTCAGTATTTTACTGTCTCTAAAAACAAGTTCAAATGAATATCGTTTCTGTTTGAAAAGCATAATTTTTATGATCCATTTCTGAGCTATCTGTAACTTGGATAACGTTGCTAAACTTGTATTTCCCCAAACTACGAAACCATAATTAATTACAGATTCTGCAAAAAGCAAAATAAACTGTTTTAAGAGTTCTGAAGTCTAATATTTCCCTTAATTCATAAAATTTGTGAATAAGTTTTCTTTGTTGTAACATACTCAACATGATCTTTCCAAGTAAGAAGTTCATCTATAATTATCCCTAGATATTTCAAGCTCGATTTCTTATTTATATATTTGCTACATGCACACTGAGGTGCAAAGTCACAATATGAGTCATGAATCTTAATGCAGTTTAGATTAGGCAAAGTACGCGAGGAAAGGGAAAAAGTCATAAAATTGTTTGTCTCAATATTTAGAGAGAGCAAACTAAAATCTAGCCAATTTTTAATTGTGTGCAATGCTCTTTCAGCTTTTAATTTGACGGAATCCCAATCTTCACCACTTACTAAAATACTCGTATCATCTGCAAAGCAATAGATGTTATGTTTGCATCATTTAATTGTTCCATTATATCATTTATGTATATTATAAACAGCAAAGTTGAGAGAACCGTACCTTGTGGCACCCCGCATTCTACCTTCAAAATATTACTTTCCTGACACGAGACATTTGTGATTTGTTCACGTCCAGAAAGATAGGACTTTATGAGTTTATTTGGAATGCCCCTTATTCCCAGATTATCCAAACGACCTAGTAAAATTGGATGTGCCACTGTGTCGAATGCCTTTTTTAGATCTAAAAATATACCCATCACCTTTTTTCCTTGGTCTAGCCCTTTCAGAATACTTTCAGTGACCCTGACAAGTGCAACTTCAGTGTTAGAATTCTCTCTGAAACCAAACTGATTTAAGTTGAGTAATTGATGCTTTTCCAAAAACTGCATTAATTTTCTTTTTAGACATTTCTCAATAATTTTACTTACTGTACTAGTTAATGCAATGGGTCTATAGTTGTTCATGTCTTTTTTATCTCCTTGTTTGTGAAGAGGTACCACTTTGGTTTTTTTTAATATTTGTGGAAAAATACCAGTACCAAAAACTAGGTTTATTATGTGTTTCAATGGAATACTAAGTTTTTCTTTATATTTCTTGATTATATTTGATGAAATATTATCCTCCCCGCCTTTTACCCTATTCTGTAAGCAGTTTATCTCCCTAATTACATCATCATTCGTCACAGGACACAAGAAAAGTGATTCATTACCTCTTTTTTCCCGCACTTCATTCCTCCAAGTACCTCTAGTAATTTCACTTGCTAATTTTTTACCAATGTTACAAAAATAATTGTTAAATTCATCTGCAACTTCTTTTTTATCAGTTATTTCTGAATTTGTTTTGGTAGTGATACATTTTATTTCTGGTTTACTCTCTTGGTCATTGGTGGCCTCTCTAAGCACATTCCACAATTTTCTGGGGTTATCCAAATTTTTTTGTGTTAAATATTTGTAATAATTATACTTCACTTTCTTGATAAGTTTACTTAAAAATTTCCTGTATTCCTGATACCTGTTTAAAACTACGAAATTGCTGGGATTTAGTGCACATTCCCTTTTAAGGAGGTTTCTGTTTCGAATAGATATTAGGAGCCCACCAGTGATCCAAGGTTTTAATTTCTTTTTTTTTATTGGGTATAGGCCTAGTTATAGTGGCTTTCAAAATGATGTCTTTTAGTCTATTAATGAAAGCCTCTGTGCAAAGCTCTACATTATTTTCTTGTAGAACATCACCCCACAACTGTCCGTTTAGTTTTTGTGTGATATTTTCATAATCTATTTTTGTAAAAGTATTAATTTCATTTGTAATGCCCTCACCCAATCTATCTAGCTGAATATTAAGGGAAATGGGGTGATGATCTGTAAGGTCGCTCTTCAAAATCACAGCCCTAACCTTTTCAAAAACATTACTCTCACATTTAATAAAAAAGTGATCCAAACAAGTCCCACTGTTATCAGTAATTCTTGTTGATTTATTAATTGCACTCATTAACCCATAGCCTTGCAATAAAGTCAAATAGTTATTTGTTGTATCTGTTTCCCTATCTAAGAGATCAATATTAATGTCCCCAGCAAATACATAAACCTTGTTCCGATCAGTGATAGAACGTTGAAATATTCTTCCTAGACTATCAATGAATTCATCCTTTGAAATATAAAAACACCTATACGTAGCTAGGAGAACAACCGTTGCATGATTTTTTTGCAAAGTGACACTAATAATCTTTAAATTGTTTTCTTGAATTATTTGATTTGTAATATGATATTCATTTTTAACAAAAATTATTTATCCATCACATCGATTAAGACTACTTTCGTTAAAGAATATTTTGTACCCAGGAATGTTAAAATCGTCTATATTGTATACATAGTGTGTTTCTGACATAATTATAACATCGAAAGATATACTTAATGATTCAAGATACACCAAAAATTGGTCAAAATTTTGATAAATACTACGTATGTTTACATGCATAAAATTAAGGTCGCTTACAGAATTATCAAAGAAGTCTACTTGACATAAGTTATCACATATGTTTGTTTCTAAGATCTTATAATCATCAAAAATACTGTTTATAGCCATTAAAAAAGAGAAAATTATTACTTACAAGTTCTGTTATAGATCTCCTAAAACATTTACTATACCTATTCAATCGAAAGTGTTGACAGGAACGAAAAAGATTTTCATTTTCAAAAAATTCAAACAATTCGTATTTGAGGGTAATTGAACAAATGCGCTACGGTATTCGAAAAACATACGTTACTATACACATTTTAAAACAAAGCGGATGTGTCTATTTATTTTTTGTTGCGAATTACAAATACAAAATCTTTGAATTCGTTTAGAAGAAAAAACATAACCCATCCCTTTTTGCATAAAAATAACATACATCTTCCTGAATGGTTTGCGATTGATATCCGCAACGTAAACTAGTGTATTTTGCTATAAAATGCCCGATGAACTAACCCTGTATATAGCTCATAAACTAGTAGTGATGGCCGGAAAGCAGGTGTTTTGGGATAAACAATTAGAAATTATCTGCGAGAAACCATCGTCGCATTACCAACAACTGCCAAAACCTGCAGTTTGCCTCGGTTTTCGGTCATAACTTTTTTGCTATAAGTCAGATCGTTTTACGTGTGGTCTCATTTTGTAGGTCTCATAAATACCTAAAAATCTTATATGAAAAGTTTTTTCGATCCTATGAACACTTTAAATTGAATCCCAAAAAATACGTTTTCTCATTCTTTGTTGACGAATAAAAAGTTTTCCCACACAAATTGGTATACCCATTTCATGCGTCCATGTTTCGAATACCCCCCTTGAACAACTCGCAGCAATAAAACCAGACTTTACAATTATTTCGCAAACCAGGACTATTTTCGTCTAATATGATTAGACTATTAAGCAATTCAGATCCAACAGTGCAAAATACGAAAACTACATCAGTTTTACACCCGAATAACCATGTACAGCCATAAAAACTTAACAAATTGAAAGAGCAGAAACCTTGTAATTGCTATGGAACTATTAACCCAACCAGCAAATTTTATGGTCTATAAAAATCAAATATAGAACGGAAAAACGTAACAAATGCGATTTACAAGCTCAAGTGTATACATTCGGCAAGCATACGTATACACATAACAAACCACGATGGGACTAGAAACGTGCTTTGCAAACATGTACATCAATATGAGGCACATATTCAGTTTTTGAAATTTGCAAGAAAAAGCTACAACTACTTGTGCGGATATTGTAGAATCAGGTAATAAGTACTATATATGGTTTTAGCAAGTGTGTGGTTTGACAATCTGATCAAGTAGCATGCATTGTACATAACTTGCTTGATAAAAATTCTCGTCTGCGTTTGCCGCTCCAATTACATATACATATACATACCACTACATACCAATAAGTACCACGACAAACTTAAGGAGAAGGACTGACCTCCCAAATAACAAAAACTTACCTCTATAAAAGTGTCATCGTTTTTGAGATATTGATTTTTTTCTTAAATTTTAAAAAACTAACCTTTTCATCTGTGGTCTTAGCTGCATGTACAAATATGGTTATACTTTGTTCATTTTTCCTATAAAATACTTCTAGATAGTTGCTTTATCATATAGAAATGCAATGTATACGTAGTTAAAGGATATTAAGGAACCATGATCAAATAGGGACTACCTTCTGATACCTTATTGGACACCCTGTATATAACAAGATTTTTGGCTTTTTAGTGATGATAATATCGACATCAGGATTAGCTTTGTATGTCTCTTAATTTATATATTTCTCGTCGTTAACTTGCAGGCTATAGTTTTTGGGTTCTTAGTATTTCTTGGCCTCAGAAGTTTCCGTGTTTTTTAGTTACCAGTAGATGGTTCGTGGAGTAGTACAGTGTTGGTACTACGGGTTCGGCAAAAATGGTCAAAGGTGGCCTAGTTGCCAGGCTTCGCCTCTCTGCAACTCCTACTACTACTACTACGAGTAGTTAGCTATTACCTAAAATCCAAAGGCTTCATTTAATCAAGTATAGATACTAACGGGTGATTTTTTAAGAGGTATAGGATTTCATTTTCAAAAAAAAAATTTGAAAAAACGATTAAATCTTTATTTGAGTCGATAGAACGGTCGATATAATTTAATGTTTAAAGATTATTTCATGTAAATGTTGGCCGCGGCTCCGCTTTAGATGGCCCATGCGCAAGGTCCAATTTTGGCACACTCTTTCCAACATATCGGCCGGTATCTCACGAATAAATGCTTCAATATTGGCTTCCAGTGCGTCAATCGTTGCTGGCTTATCCCTGTAGACATTAGCCTTAACATGGCCCCACAAGAAATAGTCCAACGGCGTTAAATCACACGATCTAGGCGGCCAGTTGACGGGCCCCAAACGTGAGATAAACTGTTCACCGAACTGGCCTCTCAATAGGGCCATTGTTTCATGTGCGGTGTGGCATGTGGCACCGTCTTGTTGAAACCACATGTCAGCCAAGTCCAGCTCTTCCATTTTGGGCAAAAAAAAGTTTGTTATCATCGCACGGTAGCGCTCGCCATTCACAGTTACGTTCCGGCCATTGTCGTCTTTGAAGAAGTACGGCCCGACGATGCCACCGGCCCATTATCCACACCAAACAGTGATTTTTTCGGGATGCATTGGTAGCTCTTGCAATGCTTCTGGCTGGTCTTCACTCCAGATGCGGCAATTTTGCTTGTTAACGTACCCATTCAACCAGAAATGAGCTTCGTTGCTGAACGCAATTTTTCGATAAAAATGTGTCCTCCAACTTTGCCAGCGCCCATTCACCAAATGGGAAACGCTGTGGGAGGTCGTGTGGCTTCAATTATTGCACCAGCTTTATCTTATAAGGTTTTACACCCAAATCCTGTCGCAAAAATTTTCCACGTAGTGGAGTAACAGAGGCCCAATTGCTACGAACGGCGGCGAATCGACATTTCACGGTCATCACTAACACTGGCGGATACAGCCGCAATATTTTCTTCAGTCCTCACTCTACGTCTGCGTGTTGGTGGTTTAATGTCCAATAATGTAAACTGGGTTCGAAATTTAGTCACAAGCTTCCGAATAGCTCCCTCAGTAGGCCGACGAAATTGCCCATAAATTGGAAGCAGTGCTCGATGCACTCTCTTAACCGAGCATGAATTTTGATAGTAAAATTCAATAATTTGCAAGCGTTGTTCGTTCGTAAGTCGATCCATGGTTAAATTATAGACCAAACTGAACAAGTTTGACAATGACACAAGACACGATTCATGCGTCATCTGTCAAAAACAGTGTTGCCAAAAAGATACTAGCAAAAAAATCACCCATTATTACACACTAATGGGTCTGTGAGTTTGAATGAATGAGTGATAAATACCATTTAATACTTGAGTGTTCCTCGAGAAAAATTGTGTATATCAGTGTCTATATTAATTGAGTAAAATCAATAAGCCATTCACGGTTACCGCAAAATCATAAACTATCAAATCCTTTAAAATGATATTCAGTAACAAAGAGGGACTAGGATACCCAGTAAAAAAGAGAAAGTAGTGCTTAGATTTTGAGTTGAAAACAATTGCTGTGTTACTTGATTTCCCCAATAATGTACTGGATGCAGGGCCATATATGTAAAATATTTTGTGGGAGCGTGCAGTTGATGAGTTTGAATTTTTTTTTGGGAGTTGGGGGGGGGGGAGTGAAGGATCAGCGTCTATGAACCCTTTCGGGGGTATCGACGATTGAAGAATTGGGGAGCGGGGGTCGTCTGCAAATTGAAATATATTCCAAATTTTAAGACAGAATTTTCGGGGGGGGGGGTGACTGCCCCAATGCCATATACATCCGCCCAGTCATCAGGACATGCTTATGTCTTCTTGCCAAGAAAGGAGGTTGATTTGAGCGTTATTTGTAGCTCTAGCAAGATGAAAACCGGTATTATCTTGTTAGCAAATAGGGTTTTCATGCGTTTGGAGGAATGTCAAAAAATAATGCTCCAGTTCCCTCTTGGTTTGTTTTGACGGTTGACTGATCGAAATTTTATCTTTGAATAAGTTCACATTCCACTTTTTGGGTAAACGTCCAACTACGCCGTAGATACTCTTGCGAATTTCAAGTTTGTACGATATTTTGACTCAATTATTTAAACAATTTAACGTTCATTGATGTCAACAATCCACGATGTGTTACCTGCTTCATGGAAACTAAATAATAATAAGACGTCTTTATTTATCCACAATTACATTGTAGTATAAACAAATGTTAGACTTATATGGCGAAGTTTAGCATGCTGCTACTCTTACACTTAACCATACAGTCTCTAGCAGATGTTCAAAAGAATACACTATCCACAAACAGATTTGGTTCATTACATCGAAAGTAAAATTTAAAAAAAGAGAAAAAGGCATACTTTCCAAACTCAAATGCACCAAAAAATTATTAATCTGAATTAAAGATGGAATAAAAAAGAAATAAATGATAACGTAAATTATATGTTTGGAGGGTTAAGTAATAATGTTTTCACTTTTTGTCGAAAGACAGGTAATGAAAATTCTTTATATACTTTAGGAAGGTCATTATAAATAATAGCAACATTGTAAGAAAAACTGCGTTTAAAAAGTGTAGACGTATGCAGGGGTACTCTAATATTATTTTCTCTGAGAGTTCTACAGTGAACATCATTATTAAATGAAATTTTTTCCTTCAAGTAATAAGGTTTAGACGTGAGCAGCAATTTGTGAACAAAAACTGAATAGTGATACTTGACAATGTCATTAATTTTTAACCAGTTTAGAACGGGATATTTCGCTGATACATGATCAAATTTACGTAAGCCAAAAATGAATCGTATACAATTGTTTTGAATAACTTGAATAACGTTTCTGGTGAAATTGTCTATACACGTATAGTATACGATATTACAATAATTTAGTATAGATATGACCAATGCTTCACATAGTTTTTTACGCAACTTAAAATTAAGTAAATACCTGTTTGCTATAAGAGTGCGTAGCCGTAGGTAGGTTTTCTGAGATAGACTTTTAACATGTTCAATAAACTTTAATTTTGTATCAAAAACAACACCAATAATTTTTGCAGAATCAGAAAATTGCAAAACTAGGTAATTTATCTGAATGTTCAAGAGCTGTGTTACATTGTATGTTTTTCTTTGTGCGCAAAATAATAACATTTTAGATGTTTGTGGATTAATAAGTAGATTGTGATCTAAAGAGTATTTAATTAATTTATTAACATCTTTTGTAAAATTTTAGTAGTATTATTGACATTATCTGGGTTAAAATAATGGAGCAACTGCGTATCGTCTGCAAATGACTGGACATGAGAATTATCAATACTTTTGCTTAAGTCGAACGTATATATGAGGAACAGAAGCGGCCCCAATACAGAGCCCTGAGGTACGCCTGAGGGAATTATTGTCACTTGAGACATTTCTTGATTGAGAAAAACACACTGAGTTCTTTGATGAAGGTGACTGTCGAAAAATGAAAGGGATACACTGTCAAGACCTATGTAATTTAATTTAGCAAGTAATAATTTATGATTGATGCTGTCAAAGGCTTTCGAATAGTCTATAGACATTGAGGCTAGTGCCATTTTCTTATCTAAGGCACTTAAAATATTGTATTGCAGATTAAGTATGGCAGATGTTGTACTATATTTTTTTCTAAAACCGGATTGAGTGTCGGGAAGTATAAAGAATTTTTCTAGGTAAGCAGTCAATTGGAACTTTATAATTTTTTCTAAAATTTTGGATAAAATTGGTAATAAACTGATAGGTCTGAGATCATTATACTCAGTGGGTTTCATTTTTTTAGGAATTGGAATAATTAGAGCTTGTTTTCATGTGTTTGGAAAGTAGCCTTTTTCCAAACAGTCGTTAAAGATGTGGACGATGTGATGGAGAATAACTGGCAGGCAAAGCTGGATCATTGACAGGGATATACCATCAATTCCCTTCGCATCAGATTTTAGGCTCCCTATTGCCTGTAATACGTCATTTGAACTAATCTTATTCAATGAAAAAATATATTCAGAGGTTAATTTATTTTTGAAATAGTTTTCGCAAACTGGCGAATCAACAGACATCAAAATTTCATTTCATTGAAATTTCAGAGTAAAGTTTTCCTCAAGACTTTTGTCCGATACGTTACGTAGGTAAATGACGTGGTCATATCGTAAAATTGACCATTTCATGAAATGGTCGCATTGCCCACTAAACGTGCATCTACTCCGTGAAATGGTCATGTATGTTTGATCAGACAGTAAAATATTCAGCTTGGTTTGTTTACATTTCAAAAGAGCGGTCGTTGATAACAAAATTGTTTATCGAAATGGAAATTCTAATAATTCGTTACTAAATGAGAAAGAATGTGAAATTAAATGACTCAACCCCCTTCTATTGCTTCGTTCCTTATGGGATTTTCAATGTTGCGTTTTTTATTGGCGACTGACCCAGTTTCCCGAAATTTAGCTACAAGTTCTCGAACATATTTTCGATGCACGTTACTGTTCTCATGTCGCTCATTAAATATTTCTGCTGTTCTATTAGCGCACTGATTATTTCCGAAAAATATTTCGATAATTTCAACTCTTTCTGCTGTGGAATATACCATGGTTAATTTATGTAATACAGCGTTACAAGTTATTTTAGCAACAAAGTTTGGTCAAATCAATCGCAAACTATGTACTGAATTCCTATTTAAAATAAGTACGAGATATTTCCTTATCTTTCTTCGAGAAATAACGTTTTGGCCACAAAAAAACGCTCCAATAGCTATTTTCAGCAACAAAATGATAAACAAGCCATGGGCATAGTGAAGAAAAGCATTTACTTATTAAGTAAATTCTTTTAGTCAAATTTATTCTGAAAGTAGTAGAAACTAATCTGATGTACCTATTAAAGTATACTTTAAGCTTTAAATCAATAAATCTTCGAAACTACTGAACTGACGCTCATGTAGGTTACATCATTATAAAGGGAATTGAAAGACCTTTAAAATAAGGTATCACTCGACCCCCTTTCCATTTAAGATTTTAGGGTTGGTGTCACTCCCGCCCAGGGGGCTGCACGTGTTAACTTGATTTTTTGCCAAACCTATGTCCCCCTCGAAAACAAAATCGACGGGTCTGAGCGTTTTAAAAAAAAAACTGAGCTGCCAGTAAATGCGTCTGTTTCGTCTTCGATGCGCCACCATATATATATATATATATATATAACAAACAAAAACCCCTAGAGAAAGGCTTAAAAAAAGTCAAAGATGTGAACGTATAGCACCTCGTAATTCCTGAAATCCACAACAGAAGATATCACAAAAACTCACAATCCTATTCGCATTATTGCACATACAGTTTATTGGTGCTTTAGATAGAAGATTTGTCTGCGCCCTCTTGCAGTAAAAGGAAACTGTATACTCGTATTTGGATGTCAATCCAGGAACCAGGAAATTAATTTGCGATAGCAAAACAGGACAGTCGATGTTACCATGCAGTAATTTGTATTTATATATTTATATATTTGTTGATAATTTAACGATATTGTCAATCGTGTATGACCAGATCGTTAAATGTTGTCTATATACCAATATGGTCAAATTTAGCTGACCATTCATGAAATGCGACCATTTCATGAAATAGTCAATCCTACGGTATGGCCACGACATATACACGCTATTTAGACGGCGCCCATGCCTCAAACAACAAAATATCAACTCTTCTAACGACCGGACAAAGACATCCGAACAATGACTAATGGAGAGCATTAAAAATAAATGGAATACATTTGCCCCAACTATGCGCCCCCCTCCAACACATCAGTTTCCGTTCAACAAAGGTAATGATGCACGACACCTGGTTTTGTGAAAACATGAAGCTTATCAACGTTGTGTCGGCAATTTTTCTGTATGAGCGATAGAATAATGCTTGGTTCAGATAAACGAGGGAATACATGGCTTATTAATGACATGTTTTCACTTTGTTTTCAGAACTTTGAAAATGGGGAATTGTTGCGGCGGTGATAAAGTAGGACCTTCAGAGGTGAGTGGCTTTTATGTTTCTGTAATTTATAATCTATATTTAGGAAGGTTAAAGACCCACTGGGAGTTCCGAATGGATTTCACCATTGGGATCCAGAAAATGCTAAGATACGGGATCGTTTGAATGGGTGACAAGTTGCCCATTCAGGTAACTAAAAAATGAGCGCTTAGAAGAATTCGTTGTTGGAGTAATTTCGGAAAAAGACTTGAAAACCGAATACTCCCAAAATAGTTTTTTTCTTCTTTCGCGAAATTTCGGAAAAAATATTTCTTTTTCGACTATCTCGGTAAGTACTTTGAGAACGTACGTATGTGGAAAAAAGGGCTTTTAAAATTTGCATATTTAGGTAATTAACAAGGAGGGCACTCTGGATCTACGGGACTTTATCCGAAAAAATAATGTGAAAACACGATCTTGAGAGTATTCGGTTTCTACCGTCCCGCTCTGCAAATACCTCGAATCACGTAAAGGTCCTTTTTTGTTTACCTAAATACTCATCTCCCTCTCTCTCTTTTTCTAGTGAGAGCTAAATCGAAACGTTCAGCACAAATCAAAAATCTGTTTATGGGATGTTATACATGACATTTGAGGGCACATTTCTAAAATAATGGCCATTATGCAGGGTGTCCTTCATATCAAAGTTGTGATTTTTCAAAAGGAATGGCTCAAATTTTACTACGGCTGTGTATTCAACATGGTGGAGATATTTTCGAGCAGTTTTTGTAGATTAGTTCTTGAGTAGTGATAGTTGTTTATTTATGTTGTTGTTACAGTTGTTTTTCTCTATTACGCTTGAAGCTGATTTATACTGTTCTGATTATTAGTTTTTACGTCAAATCTATACTCTAGTGGCAATTTGTTTCCATGGATGATGTGATTTTGGTGTGTTGTTCTATTAAAAACTTAATAACTCAAAATCTAGTGATTTTATCTAAATCAAACCTTATACCAAAAAAGCTTATAAAATATTGCATCCAAACTTTCACAAATATACAGGGTGAGACGTTTGAAAATTTTGAGAAAAAGTACAGTTTGCGTTTTTGACCACCCTGTATAAGCTAAAATGAAAATTCGAAAAGGAAACAAATAAGATAAAAGCTGAGGTGTGTAAGTCTTTTTTGATACAAAATTCAGCACTCCAAATTTCAATATGGCGGATTGAGGGGTTGCCGAAGTGGACGGTTTTTCTGGACAAAATGCCTTACATCTCAGTAGCTAATTACCAAAACCCCATTGTACGTTATATCAATCTTCTTCCTTTGAATTGGATTATCCAAATATGCAATAAAATTTCAGGCGTTCCATTTAAAACATCACAACTTTAATATGTAGGTCAAAATTGTATAATTGCCAATATTTCAGAAATGAGTCCTCAAATGTCATGTATAACATGAAAAAAATAGATCTTTCCAAAATGTATTTATTTATGAGTAATATTCCGTCCACCCATGGATGGGCTACCCTCTAAATTAATGCGTTTTTCATGTTTAACATACTCCGTGAACAAACATGTGGCCACAGTTTGCTTCTGGATCCTTTGACCTGTCGTTGTTCAATATTTCGGCACATGTTTAAAGAAGAATTATATTTTCCGTAGCCATAGTTTCTTTAACCGACCCATTTTAAGTGCAACAACTTTCTCATGGAAGCATACAATTTAGGAAACCAGTTCAGAACTTTTACAAAATTGAGGTGTGGACAAACATAGAGGATTGCGATCAAGGAGTGTCATTGAATCATGCACCATACCTTTTTGTTACTCAAAAACCCTACGTTATATTGAGTGACAAAACCTCAAGATACCTACATAGAATGACTTAAAGAATTAGCTGCCTTTAAAGATTCTCCTTAACATTTGATGCTTATTTTCGAGAACTTCATGCAACATCATTTTTGTCTTTTGTTTCATCAGTTATTAAGTGCCTTCTTTTGCAGCAAAACCAATTTGGATATGATGTAAGAATAGACGACATAAAAAGAAGACCTACCGACACACTCTTTTTAACCTTATTTGCAGTATTTCTAGTCATATTTGTAAGTATATTTTTTGACCTGTGTAACCTTTACCAAGATGATCTTATACTTAATCTACAATTTCAACCACGTAACAAAACGCTCGCTATTATTACAATTTATAAGAGAGTAATTAAGTTTGTAATTGCAATTTGATAGCATGTTTTACGGATAGAAAAAAAATCCGATTTTTCTGTAAATCGATGAACTGCATGCTTTTCTATATAATGATAATAAAATGAAGACATCTACAATAACGATTTATTAGAATAAAAATTAAAAAAGGTGATACGTACAAAAATATATGTATCAAATTTCGTGTTTTAATGACTTGTTCATGTTAGTGAACTGTGAACTTAGACCTCTTGCATATGTCGTACATATAGCACTGTTTAAAAAAATTAATTAAAATGGGTAATTTATATAATTGATTTATCAAAAATCGATGTTATTATCAAGAAAATCGATCATAAAGAAAAAATACCCCATTAATCGATTATTCTTTAACAGTGCCGTATAAATAGAGGCTCCTGGGCATATAGCAGCTTGGAGACCGTAGCTAAATGTGCCCCAAGGCAGAACAAAATCCAAGGCCCTACTTTACCGTTGAGAAAAAATGAAGTGCGAGGCGAACTTTTTTTGCAAATGTCGTTTGATTTTGAGCATTTGGGGACCTCATCAAGTTAGACCCTCGGCACGCGCTCTTGTGCCCGCAGGGTGAAGGTGGAATAGCACACGTACGCGAAAGTTTCTGATTAACAAGGGTTCTAAAGTAATGAGTGGCTAATCGATTAATTTATTGAAACATGACATACTCTGATGGTAGCGTCTAGGTCAATGTTAGACCTCTAGTTTATGCAACGAAATCTAATACGTTTTTATAACAGTCTCGCTTAACTCGGCCATGGAAACAATAGTTGTCACTGACAAGTTATTGTTAAGACTATCGCCCACGTACGCGAAAGTTTCTGTCTAACAAGGGTTCTGAAGTACTGAGTGGCTCATCGATTTATTTATTGAAACATGACATACTCTGATGGTAGCGTCTAGGTCAATGTTAGACCTCTAGTTTATGCAACGAAATCTAATACGTTTTTATAACAGTCTCGCTTAACTCGGCCATGGATACAATAGTTGTCACTGACAAGTTATTGTTAAGACTGAAACAAAGAGACTACGGTATCTCGCACGAGTATTCGTCACGGTAGAATAACAGATGATTATCTAGTGATGTTTCAAAACTCCCATATCGACAAGAGACAGAAAATAAATTCCGAGGGATCCGTCAACGCCAGTTAGACAGATCCGTATTTTGTTTAGTCTTTCTGTACGCTACAGATTAATTTTGTACTTACTAACAACTGTTTTATTTAGAAAATTTTCTTTGTATATTAAAGCAACACTGGGTGCTAATGATCATGACTACATTTCAAATCAGGTATTAATAAAATAAGATAAAGAGTTTTTGCTTATGTTAATCATCTCTAGTTCTTAGAACTTGAAACACCATATGATTTTAAAGAGCAATGAAACAGTCACACGATCAATTGTAACAAGCTATAAATGTGGGAAATGTTGATGTAATGTGCATGACCTTTTTTTTACATCATTCGTGTATTCTTAATTTTTATGGTAGGCTCTGTGCATACTTAACCTGTCTTTGTATTGCGTTATACTGACGATGGACCATTAACCAGAAACCCGTGTCTATATTAGGTTTACAGGTAAAATTATAGGTACTGGAAAGGGCCACGCAGCCTGTACTATTGACTTACCTCGTAATCAATAAATCAAAGATGTACGAGTACTATTATAAATTTTTATCTGTACTTCATATAGGTTATTATCAAAATTCCTGGTCACTTAAAATTGTAATCCAGATATGTGAACGACAGCTCTGAATACGGTCCTGAAATTCATTACTGCCAACGTTACAGACTAATCCAAAGATGTCGCGTTTCTATTCAGCTTGTCTCCTCAGTAGACGTAATGGATACTGGTGAAAAATACATTGTTCGTGACAAACTAAGGTTTGGTAGTAATAGCTACAAGAGCATCTATATTCTCCAAGAAATAAAATTTCATGTTCTTAAATAATACCTATATAAATGATGAATGACTGATTGGAGATAGAGTATTCAGACATTTTGTTGCTTCTACTTTTACTTATAAAAAAAATGTTTTAGCTTGGTTTCCTAGGCTATTGTATACTTCATGGAGACCTACATAGAGTCATCAATGGCTACGATGACTGTGGATACATATGCGGCCAAAGTAATCCGATATCCAAAGATGCTTACTGTTCAGAAAGTGACAAAACTTCCAAAAAGTGAGTACAAGATGAAAAAATTTCAGACTTATGCCTACTTGGTTTGCTCATACATATGAGTACTATTTTTTAAGTAACAACCGATTCCGCATCGTGACCGCGCATCCCGTTACGTGACGTCAGTTCAGCCTCGCCATTACGTTTCACGTATCTGTCGGTGTGGGTTCCGTGGTTATACTGCGCAAACAAGTTCGCCCTGATATGAATGCTGAGAGGTACTGCGGAACATTGTTGAAGCTTTAGCACGCTTTTGAAAACCGCCGACGAGACATTCCTGCTAGCAGCGTTATTCCGCTTCACGGCAATGCTCGGCCTCAGGTTGCGGCAACCCTGACCTAGTACCATCAGACTTTCATTTTTTCCAAAACTTGAAGAACTTCTTGATGAATAGCGCTTGGAAGATGATGACATGTTAAAAGTAACAGTTATTCGCTGGTCTAACGGTCAGGCGGCAGCGTTTTTTGATGACAGGATCCAAGAGCTGGTGGCACGAGCTGACAAATGCTCAAATGTTGGCTATGCTGAAAAATAAAAAAATATTTATATTTCAGTTTGTGGTACAATTTACGTTCAAAAATAAAGATTCTCTGACTCCACTACAAACCGGTTCTTACTTAAAAAGTGGCCATCGTAAGTTTTTTACAAAACTACGTTTTTTTGCTAAATAAAACTACATATGCTGTACAAATTACTCTTTACTGACGTTTAGGCCACCATGGAGTCCTATCAGCAAAAGGTAAGCTTCGGGTGTTACGACTGTTACGTTGACGTTCTTTCTTCCCACACATATTGGCGAGCAAGTATTATAATCACGAAGCATTTCGCAATTGAGATATTATGTTACATGGCGTCACGAAAAACCATCTCACTCATTTCCATCGGTCTGTCTGTTTATTTATTAATCCTTGGTCCGTCTATAATTTGGAAAGTACCGCAGAATTATAACGGAATAAATCGATATGATACAATAGTGTCATTAAAAATCGGTATAACGTGAACTTCAGTACTAGGTCGTCGCTAGCATGTTCCTCACCTACTCACTATGGGGAAATGGCACAACGACCAATAGCTTAAGCCGTAGAAGCTATGAATGGCCTCCAATAGTCCTATCTCTGAAGCAGATGTTCCGTCATATCAGAGCCAAACCATATAGCTCAAGAGGAGTGACATTTAGGCAACATACACAGCTATTAAAAGTGAGCACGAAGTAGACGACAGCTATACTATAACTATCTAAACCTGTAATGACTCATCGATGTTAACGTGAACATCACTTAACTACCAGTAGTCGACTGTTCATAGGCGGGGTATGAATGTTTAACATGGGTGAACTAGATTTGTCACATGCTTAATAAAGAGTGGTTTGAAACATATTGTAAGTCAAAAATTTGGGAATTACCTTTATTCATCGTCGCTTCCACTTACATCTGACAGTAATAAACTGTCGCTATCGCTTTCCTCGTTGAAATTGACTATAACTGGCTCTATGATGGTGTCGATGTGGTGGTCAAGCAGCCACATTTTTGTTTCTTCCTTCACAACATGACGGATAGCATTCTGCCAAGCTTCGGGCGTTACTAGCTATATGGAAGTCTCAAGTAAAACCTTAACGTCTGGTAATTTGAAGGTTGTGTTATGGCGCGCAATATAACCCTTCACTTGAGCCCAGATGAGCTCTATTGGGTTCAGTTCACAGTGGTAGGGCGCTAACCGCAGCACAGTGACACCACATTGATGGGCCATCTCATCAGTCACGTAACTAATGTTCGCAGGTTTGTGCTGTTTAATTTTTTCATACAATTCCGCTTTTACACATGAATCGTCAAACGGGATTCCTTTTTCGCGCAACCATTGCTGCATGTCACTTTTTCGAGATCCCATAGTCGGAACACGTTCGGCTCGACGACTATGGTAGGATCCATGACGATCACAGAGTTGGGCTCAACTCGCTGAAGCACCCCTTGAAACCAGCTCTCGAAGCAGCTGGCATTCATTTCGTCATGGTAATGACCTCCTTTCTTAGAGACGAAAATCAAGTCACACGCTTCTAAAAAGCCACTATCGCTACCAATATGAGTTACGATCAATCTTTGACCTTTCCTTGACGGCCCACGAAGACCTGTTGACAAACCTTCAATGCTTGCTTGTCGGTTACTCACTACGTTTTTGTCTATCCAGGTTTTTTTAACTGTGTGACCTGCAGTTACCCATGTCTCGTCCAAATAATAGATTTTTCTGCTTTGTCGCCTATATTCAATCATTTCGCGTAGGTATATCTCTATCAATACTGACTTCCGATTACGCGTTTCGTAACGAAAATTAATTTCGTGCAGGGATTTCCTCATTACCTCGACGCTAATTTGGGGTATAATTTCATTTTCCTTGATCGCTGCATGTACAGCCTTGAGGGTTGGTATCTCATTCCTAAAGAAGAATGAATGTACGGTTCGCCTTAACGCCATTTTGCTATCGTCATCCAATTTAACGGCCTTTCGTCCCTTCAAATTAAACTTTGGATCAGTAGTAGCTCCAGTTTTCTTCTTTTCATGCACCACCCTGCGAATGGTCCACTCTGGAACGCCTGTCATACTTTCACAACGCGCGAGTGCATCTCCCTGCGACATAGTTCTGTTCAGATAATTGAACACGTTGAGCACGATTTCTTTCGCGTCCCTCTTCAGTGCTTTACGAAGCCGTCTACTTGTTCCCTGGCTTTCAGTACTTCCAGTCGTGCCATTTGTACTTTCCATGGTTAAGTATAACCAAAACAGTAACCACAGAAACCACAACAATAACAATCACACAAAAATTCTTATAAAAACACACAATATGCGATCGCTCAACGAAACACGTTCCAATGCGTTGCCGACGCCTATGAGTCTGCCGGTCGAGGCGCGTCTTTGATTTCATTGGTTCTACCTGCGGAGAACAATCAGCCATTATTTCCATCTCTGTCTGTGCTGTTGACCACCGCAAAGCCACAGAAACGACATATGTCGTACGCTATACGGCTGTACTGGAAGGAAGCCGGGATCGAGCTCTGATCACGTGTTGATCACGCGTATGAGTCATTAAAGTTTTAAATAGTTGTAGTATAGTTCAAACGTGACGTTTTTTCCGGAAAAACCTACACAATTGTATTAAAAATCGATATAATGCCACTCTGTAAGTTACGTAATACCGGAGCAGCTCTGATTTTGATGAAACCTTTACACGAGGTTGCTGCTGCGCCAAGAACCAAAAAGCTTTGTAGTTTTTGAAAATCGGTCCGGTGGGTATAGAGCTACGGGGCACAAAACGAAAAAAAATCGCTCAAACTTCGTTCCTTGACGTTTAAAACGGCTCTAACCGTTTTCAGAAATTTGTTTGTTTTATAACAGAGAAGAGTCAGGCCTTGACTACAAAATAACGAACAATGTTTTGAACATCTACTTTGATTTATATGTTTATATATGATTATTATTGTTGTTATCATTAATAAAATTTTCATTCCTTATTAAAGTTTCACCATACCTTTTTATATCCTTATAATTTACGTTCCAACTACAAATTCATGGTCAATTAAGGAAATAGGTATATCACTGGATTTAGCACTGAAAACTCCATTTAAATGTGCAAAATTCAAATATAGCATCCATGTGAAAAAACAAAGTTGGAAGAAGAAACGTCGATTTGAAAATTGAAGGGGAAGTCAGGAAAAATAAAAAATAATTCTACGATAAATGTGGTATACGGAGCCAATGGCTATCTCCTAATTTCAAGGGCTAGCTGGAAAATTCTGTATTGGTTTGGAAATGTCAATATATGACATATATTTTTGGAGTCAGAATTAGAAACTCTATTCACCTTTGCAAAAGTCCAATATGCCGTATAAGAAAAAATTAAGTTGATGTTGGAGGACAAGGAACGAAACGTCATATTGAAATTCTAATTATGCCATCTTGCAGATGTTAATGTGCAATTTATTTTGAAATACCACTACAGATAAGGCCAGGAAAATGTTAAAACGATTTTGGGAAAATTCCCCCCATTGGCCCCATTTAACCAACTTCGTATCTCTTACTGTTTAGGAGATTCCAATGGTGAGGGTCAAATTTGAAACATCCGGTATATGTGGTTTCACTCGTCCCGAAAAACATGAAGTTCTATTAGCATAAAAACCACAGAATAAGTTTCGCAAGTTACATTAACGCTTTGTACTTTTGTTTTAAGATACCATATATTGGATAAGCCCCAAAATGAGTTCAGAACCATCAGGAAATGTGTCGCAGAATGCCCAGACGGATAGTAAGTAACAATTACACTTCATCACAGGTGAGATTAAAATGTTGCAACTCCTTCATCAAAAATATTAGCCTAGTAGAATAATTAGATTCTATAAGAATAAGCCTGGAAACTTCTGAGGCTCCCAAACTCCCTTTAGATGCAATACCCTAATTATAATATTATTTCAGTAACAAACTCATAAATCGATGTATCCCAAGAGCGAAAAATATGTCAAACCTGGAAAGTTCGCTGGAAGAATTTGTAACGGTAAGTACGCCAAACATCGTAGATTCTTCTATAATCTGTTAGAAAAATTTGCAATAGAAAAAAGATTTATGGTGTCATTTTATTTTAGCAAGTGACTGAGGATTTTCAAGTTTACTGGAAGGAATTTTGCTATCTATGTCTCATAGCGCTAGGTAACTATTCCCAATGTGTTTGAAAGCCAGATATTTTTCATGTCACATAGATTCTTGGTCTATCCTTTGTTTACAACTTCATCCTTGTATTTCTTTAAGGCCCGTATCGTCAGTCGTCCCTACAATTGTAGGGCGCGTTTATGGCCTCCTTGATTGTCATACTGCTTTCTCTCCTTAAAAAATTTCTAGATTACACTTGGCCCGTGTCAGCGTCAGCGCTCTCCTATTGTGAAGATATGTTTTCTTTTTAAATTGTACGAAATTTCAGGCTGATAAAACATGATACAACTCAAAAGCAAGCACAATTTGATGCAAATAGATGTTTGTGACATAACCTCAAAATCGAGCGCTGACACGGAGAAGTAGAAAACCATGACAATCAAGGAGGCCATAAAGGCGACCTACAATTGTAGGGACGACTGACGATACGGGCCTTAGACTTTGATGATGAATTTTAGAATTCAAAATCTTATAAAAACATCAGGCTTGTTTTTCATTATTACTAAAATGTATGCTTGATATAAATTTGAGTCAAATGTGAGAACTTAGAAAAGATAGTATAAAAGGTATCATCTACCTCTGAAAATTTCTACCATCACCAATCAAAATATGAATGAATTACAAGACTATTTTTTTTAGGAATGTCATTTCTGATGCTGGTACTGTTCAGATTGGTTGTGGGGGTTATAGTATGGATAGTACTGGTTGGAGTGGTTTTAGCTTGTATAGGAGGAACAGCCTTCCTTTGGTAAGTAGTGCCATGACAGGTTGTTGACTGATCGCGCTACATACAAATACATATAAACGAAGAAAAAACCATTGACAAGTGTCAGTTATCTCTAGAATCGTCATTCAAATATTTATAATATCCGTTTTTATGCCGGTATTCTTGTCAGTGTGTGGTTTCGACAATACAAGCTGGCCATTTTTAACCTCTAAAATTTTCAGGTTGCTTTGGAAAGATCCATCCAAATTCATCAATCAACAACCATCCTACTTTCTACCAGACCTCGATGAGAGGAACTCAACAACATTTTTGGTATTTGCAATAATCTCAAGTGTTCTTACTGTGATAGTGGTACTGATAATTGTAGTGATGAGGAAAAGAATTAATTTGGTGATTAAATTATTCGAAGAAGCTGGAAAAGCTATAGCAGCTATGCCTATTTTACTGCTGCAGCCTGTTATGGTAAGAACAACGTTAATTTTTGCAGAAAAAGTGACGCGTACTGTATGTGTTTAGATAAACGTGATCATTTTTTTCAAGATTCATCAATATAGAGTACGAGGAATGTCTTTTAAGTTTTGCATATAGAAACGTAGTAGGCCGCGCGGATCGAACGTCAGTACTGAATCTTAACCTCACTCTTTAGTAAACTTAAATTCAAAGTTTCACAACAATAGTTGCAGTGTTCTCACTACAGTGAATTTTTAAGTGTCACCGAGTCAATAGAAAAATGGAGCTCAACCGAGAACATTTTCGCGCCATAATTTATTACAACTTTCAGAGACAATTATCGCAACAAAAAGGCCTTGCTGAGTTATACTGCCACATCAATCGTCAATTTCCCGTTGGTATGGAGAATTCAAACGTGGACGGGTGAGTCTTAGCGACGATCCCAGGGTTGGTGCACCCAATTCAAAAAATTTAACATGAAGAATTAAGAGTAAGAAAATTAGTTTCTCGTTGGATACCCCACCTGTTGACTGAAGAGCAGAAAGCAGCCAGAGTTAATTGGTGTCAAAAAACGCTTGACCGTTTCAATTCTGGAAATTCAAAAAATGTGTACAGCAATGTTAGTGGTGATGAATCGTGGATTTACTGTTATGAACCAGAAAATAAATGACAGTCGGCTGGTTGGGTGTTCCAAGGTGAAGAAAAGCCAACAAAAGTCATCCGTTCTCGAAGTGTTTCGAATAAGATGGTCGCGACCTTTGTGTCAAAAGCGGGCATATTGCAACACTTCCTCTTAATGAGCAAAGAACTGTTACTGCGGATTAGTATATCACCATTTGTTTGCCAAAAGTCATCACCGAGCTTCCAAAAATCAACCACGAAAGAAGAATCATCCTCCACCAAGACAATGCAAGCTCGCACACAGCCCAAAAAAAAGACAGTATTTAACGGAAGAAAACGTGGAATTATTGGACCATCCTCTATATAGTCCCGATCTAAGTCCTAACGATTTCTTTACTTTCCCGAAAATTAAAAACAGACTGCGTGGTCAAAGGTTCCAGTCACCAGAAGAAGCAGTTGACGCATTCAAAAATACCTACCGTGTTATTTTATTTCAATATGCAAAACTTGAAAGACATTCCTCGTATAAGCATCTATCTAGATATTAACCACATTCAAAATGCATTGGATCTAAACCAAGGCTCACCAAGCATCCAAATATCAAATTCCTTCGAGATAGATGTTGCAATTCGGAACACTTGACATTCCATCTTGTTTGCTGATACTGATCTGAACAAAAAAAGTAGCAAAACCTTAGGCGGATATATTTTTGATAAATCCAAGTAGCATCAAAAATCAAATCTTTTTGTATGGGTTGCACAGAGAAATGAAGCACAAAGTTAATACGTTTACACACAAATGGCAATGAAATATACGCAGGTGTTTTTTGCAGACATTTGTGGCATTAGGAGGTGTGGCATGTCTTTGGGTGTACTTTACTATTTGGATCCAAAGTTCTGGTTGGCTACAAGAAACTAAGAGCAATTCGCATATATACAGGTATATCAAAGATGGCATAATGAAAGGAACCATGTGGTACAACATATTTGCTGCATTGTGGATGGTACAGTTCATTATTGGCTGCCAGCATATGATCATTGCCGGAGCTGTTGCTATGTGGTACTTCAGGAAGTAAGTCTTCGTAGATGTACGGGGGTATGGTGAAGAGTTCTCGGTCCTACAACGAAAGACTGAAATTTTTAGTTGAAAATGATTTCATTCTTTTACACTCAAAAAACTTCGTAAAGATAAACTACTAGAGAGAAGTTGGATCTTATCATAAGAATAAATGTCAGGCGGACAAATGTCCACCTTATCCTGGTAATTCAGATAATGACACTCTTCAAAACGTATGCTAATTTCATATAGAAGTTAGTATTTTAGTTAGTGCACTCTTAGTAGCCACTGATCTTTCCATGATTGAGTTTCACCACATGGTAGTGCACGACATTTATGTTGATCAACACTTTTTTTTTCAGGAGAAAATCGGTTAATTTCCCAGTATTTGTGAGTTTCTATAACCTAACAAGGTACCACTTAGGATCAGTCGCATTAGGCTCCTTTTTAATAGCTTTAGTACAATTTGCTAGGCTAGTTCTGGAATCAGTTAAAAGAACATTCAACAACAGAGAAGGCAAGATAGCCCAATGTGTGCTTAGTTGTTGTCAGTGCTGCTTATACATTTTCGAGAGGTTTCTGAAGTTCTTTACGAGGAACGCTTACATCGAAGTTGGTGAGTTTTGCCTTCATATAACACTACTTCAGCTCAAATGATTCCTTTGTGATCATTCCCCAAGCATACAGGGACTGGCACCAAAGGTCGGATGGTTTTTAAAAAATCACAGAATCGGTAATTTTTACTCAAAAACGAATTTATTGACGGATTCGGGTTCTCAATGAAATAGCGTTTGACACAATTAAGTGTGGAAAATCACATCAGTCGCGAATTACCTCCTTCAACTCGTCCAGAGTTCGGGGCTTGTGTATACACGAGCCTTGAGGTGTCCCCATAGGAATAATCGCAGATGGATAAATCTCCAAACCTGGAAATAAGGCGACCACGGAAGAGAGGGCAATAACGTGAAAAAAGTTGGTGGTCATTTCGATATACCGCTCCGAGTTCACCGTAACAGCATTGCCACTACCATCTTCGCAGAAGTAAGGGCCGATGATGTAAGTTTGCAATGCAGCGCACCAGACCGTCACTTTTATGCATAAATGTGGTAGTCAAAGTGAAAATGCGGCCAAACTTAGGAGCAACTGGTAGGAATGCATACCGACGGCTTTGTCATACTTAGTAGTAAAAGACTCACTTCGTCAGAATTTGATGTTCAATTAAAAATAACAAAAGTGCTTAGAGGCTGGAGAATAACCCGTGCCGTGCACAAACTTGATACAGTCACAAAGTTCTATAGTGAAGATCTAGAAGAAGAACATACGTGTTAGGCTTATTTGGCGGGGTTATTGAATCAAAATTCAATTCTTGCTTATTTTTATTCTACTTTAATTCATTTCAGCAATGTATGGTTATTCTTTCTGTGCTGGAGGAGCCCAAGCTTTTAAACAAATCGCATCAAATGTACTGAATGTTGTTGCGATCAATTCTGTAGGAGATTTTGTCCTGTTTTTGGGAAAAGTTGCAGTGGTTGTAGCAACTGTGTTTATTGGAGTTAGGTGGATGAGAGTAAGTTTTTTTTATATCAGGTAACCAAATAAGTTCGTGCGGTTTTTAGTAGGAAAAATTTAAATTTTTATTGAGAAACAATAAGACACTATTTATTCGTCGATGTAATTACCATCACATTCAATGACCTTTTGCCAACGTGGAACCAATTTTTGTATGCCGGTATTGTAGAACTCACTGGATTTGGAGTAAAAAAATTGTCGGACTGCATTTATTACACCATCTCGAGTTGTGAACTGTCGGTGCCTCATACAGTTGCCAAGAGACAAAAAGCAGAGTTCAGAAATTTTTTCTCGGGTCACTTTTGCGGAATGAGGCTTGGCGTTAAAACTGCAAGAACCTTCACCTTGTTCCGATTGATCAAAGAAGGCTGTTTCTGAATTAGTGCTGCTTGTACTCGTTGAAGCTGCTCACAATACAAGTTAGCAGTGATGGTTTGACCCCTTTCTAAAAACTCATAATGGACAATTCCAGTTGCTGTCCACCAAACACACAACAAAACCTCGTTTGAGTGCAAGGAAGCCTTGGGCGTATGTGGTACCAAATCAGTAGGCGACAATCAATGATACGAACGCTTAGAATTCGAATACAAGATCCATTTTTCGTCGCAGGTTAATAACCGATTAAGAAATGGTTCATTAGCGTTCCGTGAAATGTTTGCTGAGCAAATGGTAAGACGAGTTAATTTGTTATCATTTGTCAGTTCATGTGGGACCCATTTGCTTAACTTCCACGTATTTCCTAGCTAATAAAGATGCAAACAGTTTCAGGAATCACTCTGAACATTTCTGCAAGTTCTTGGCACGTTGTCCTGGAATTTGCGTCCTTGTTGTTCATGATTTTTGGTCTCCCTGAGCGCGGTTCATCGCTCAAACTGAGATCTCCCGAAGAAAATTTTTTGAGCCACTTCTGTGCTGTTCGATCACTACGGCATCATCTCCGAATGCGGTACATATTTTTCGCGCCACCGCTGCAGCTTTTGTACCAAGTTTGTACTCATACAGTAAACAACTTCGAATTACTGTTTTATTCGTCGCCATTTTCAATTATTAAAACTAGGTATGTAACAATTTTCAGCAACTTTTTATGTATGTGAGAAAAGAAGGATTCATACTAAAGTGGCAACAGGTAACAAACAATCGCTATCGATCAACAGCATCCATGGCAATGTGCGATATACAGCACCGCACGAACTTATTTGGTTACCTGATACTTGAACAACCACGAATGCTTGTATACCTGTTGGTACCCTGGAGCTATAGGGAGATAAAGAAAAAGGGGGGATGGGCCTTAGAGTTCCACCGGGTGGTAACTCTACGTTCGATCGTAGCCAAGAGGATACTTCTCTTAGGACGGGATTCGAACCCGCGCAGTCCACGGCGACTCATTAGTAAACAGCACTACCCACCGCGCTGCATAAGTGATACAATTTCTATCAAAATTGTCTGCCAGTGTCAAGTCGGTTCATAGGAACTTTGTCTTAATCTGGTTTTGGCTTCGTATTGAGTTGGTCAGTTCGTTATTCTGAGGCTCTGGTGTAACAGAACACACTCGAAGTGTACATCAAGGGAAAAACAAGAGAAAAGAGGAAGTGAGGAAACAGAAAAAGAATAGATAGAAAGAAGTGTAGCAATGCTGATATAATCCGGGCAATATCTTCGCATCTCATGGGAAAAATATTCTGATTCGGATTTGTTGCATAATTTTATTCAATTCTTAACGAATCTGCATGTTGCCAGGCCCAAATTTCAGAACAACATGTTAGTACAATGTTTGTAAATAAATCCAGTCCAAGCTTATAGAAGTGTGTTAAAAACTAGGCAATCACAATAAGAATACCTCCTGAAATGCTTCGTGGTTTTGTTAACGGATGTTTGAAGAATATCAAGTAACATTGTCAAGATTGAATCTTTTTTTTATATTATTTCTGGAGCTCAAATATGGCATATTTCGCATTTTCCAAATATTGTATGTTTGTTTAAAAGAATTTCGACGCAAATTTAGGCCTGATAACATGCAGATTCGTTAAAAGTGGTCTTTTTTTAATAATATTATGAAACAAATCCGAACCAGAGTATTTTCCCCATCAGATGCTAGGATGTCCGGGCTAACGGATTTTCTATTTTCAGGCTATTGACGGGGTACAACACATTTGGGTTCCAATAACATTAGCAGGGATATTTGCATACTTCGTCGCTCACTGCTTTATAACAGTTTTTGAGGTATGTATATTTATATGAGCAAGAGCGGTAGAACATATTGCCTTATACAGTATGTTGTCAAATGAATCATTATTGCTTTAAATGCGAAACAAAAGTTTCTATCACTTGTTTGTATCGTATTTAAACGTGTCTATGTTAACGAAATAAATACGTTAATGGTATGCATCGCTACAAAAAACAACTGTTCCAACAAGGTTTATAACAACTGGATTAAAGATTTCTACAAATCATTTGTTTACGTGATTACGTTATCTAGAAAGTCATCAGGAATACTTTTATTGTAGATAGCATGTTTACGCAGTATCTAATCTACCATCATCATTTCCAGTCTCGCGCATTTTGTACTGTGATAATAATTATCATTAAAAGACCTTTTGTTGGTGCACTATCTATGGCTCATTAATATTTATCATCAAAATGATGATCAACTGCGAAGTGTATAAGTATAGTTAAATGTGATAGTAAAGTGGACAATCCTGGAGCATGAATGTCTTACTGATTCTAAAAGACCCTGATATTTTGGTTTCTGTATCGCAATTCACGAATTTCACTCTCCTTCACAGACACGCTGGAATAAGGCTCAATGCTATACAAAAGTCAATAAGCCAACTGAGATTAACTTTATGCGTAATCACGTGGTTATCGGGAAATCGCGTCTATGACAGTGTTTGAGGCGGACCCTGCCTTGTTGAAAGGACACATTGTTAAGGTGCATGTTATCCAGTTGGGACTGAGAAAACACTGAAAAAAGCCCTTCTGAAGATCCCGTGCAAGGAGCACGCGGTTTCTTCGAAGCTTTTTTCAGTCTTCCCGTAATCCAAAAGTACAAATCATTATAAACAATCACAAAGGCTTGTTTTACATTCTCTTCAATAATGCCTTTGCACCATTTTCCAATTTCAGATGATAATAGACACAATATTCTTGTGTTTCTGTGAGGACTGTGAGAAGAACGACGGGGTCACCAGACCGTACTGCATGTCCCGTGGCCTCATGGAGTTTGTCCAGAACTCTGGCAAAGCACTGAATATACGAGATGTGCCAAGACTGAGATCGCCCCAAGATAGGGGAAGCCCTAATACCGTAAGCCACGGTGTTGTGTATGGAAAACGTAACAAAGAGTATTAAATAATTGTAATCATTTTTATAAAATGTAAAATTTATTATGTATAAGATATAAGATATATTTATTCGTTATATAGAATGGCTTTATTTAAGTCTCACCCTACAAAAGTACGAGTGGAAAAATGCAAATGTGCATGTGCTTTTTTACCGTGAATGTCGCTCGCCGCAAGATGGACACAGCGTTTTGCCAACCATTGAGATTCCGATTATTTGTAAAAATTGCATATTAAGGGTGATTTTATGTACAATATCGGGGATTTGGCTTTCCCCTCTCGTCTAACTCATCCCGACTAATCCCTACTTAATCGTATACACGACAAAGTGTGGATGTTTGTTACTTAAGCAAACCAAAATGGCTGAGCGGAACTGAATAAAATTCGGTACACAGATAGGTTATGGTCTGGAATAGCACATAGGCTACTTTCTACCTCTTGAAATAACTTTGAAATATCCATTTTACGGGCAGCAGCCCAAACAGCTTAATGCGTTTTGCCATAAGGTGTCTAACGCGAAAGCACTCAATCCAACCAAAATGGGTAAGGCTATATAAATAGGGCATTTGCATCAAAAATTTACTGCATTTCAGCATTCGTTCTCTTAACGGGATCGTCTTGATTTAGATTTGTTTGGTGTTTTGTTTTACTTCATGTATAATACTGTGAATAAATAGTTATTTGGTTGGGATATGTTAAGATATGTTATTGTGATTCTGATTATACATTTGATTTTAATTTACTGTTGCTCTAAAATGTTGAATAAAATATGTCCATTGTCAAAATAACTTTCGCATTACTAAATATAGCATTTCTTTCTCCAAAACCAATGTTTTCCATACTCTTTTTTAGGCTAATAATTTAGGAATACCGGTCATACCGATGTCTAATCAAGACCCTCAAGGAAAAATTCGGGCGGGCGCCCATGTCTCGAAAATGTAATTGGAAAGAGGAAAAAAAATGTTTCTCAGTCAATTTCTTGATATTACTTTGTATCTTACTCAAATGGATACTTCACTTCCAGAAACTCCACTTTTCGTGATCACAATTGTTTTTCCAAAAATAAAAAAAATAAATAATAGTTTAAGGGCCAATTTCACCAATATTAATATTATGGACTAATGGGAAAATACCTTATCGAAATTCAATATAACGAAAGCTGTCAAGGGTCTCTGAATATTAGTGATTTCTATTGAAATATTGAATAAAATCGTGAAAATTCGACTGTATTATAAACAAGACCACTTTTTGATTCCAACATGATGCTTTTGTACAGAAAAAACAGGACAACTTTCATGTATTGTGATATATGTTATAGGTATACATTTAACAATCCGTTATCCCCCTCAGCGAATGGGAATGCTGCAAATAATAGGTCGATTTTCTAGCTGTTAAATTTGGCAGCAGATTTGGATGTTTGTTAATGCATGGCACTCTCGAATTTACCAGCTTCAATATACTGAAAGTTATCATTACGTACCTGTTGAATAGTGTGGATTTTTCTGTATTTTGCAAGAAATTAGAATATAAAATACATTAGATCCAATTCCCCATCTTCCTTTACGTCATTATAGTAATCATTTATTAATTTATGGGATAATGAATTTCTTCAAAGCAATAAAAACATTATGTCCTCTCCATCCTAAAACACAGATAATATGTGTAAGACGTGTCAATCCCTACATCTCCCTGATGCATAATGCAATTACTATGGACATAGACAAAAAATTATGAAAAATGTTTCACAGATAATGGCTTTTAAGTCCAAAAATCAAAAAAACTAGTAATGTTTATTGTTTGTCTATTTTTATTTTTTGACTGGAGGGGATATCTATCTTTTACATTTGCAGGTTTTGAATTTTTTCCGTGAAAATTTACTAGGTATCATGATTATAAGCATCTTTGGTAGATTGTTCGATCCGGAATGGGGAAGATCTCCTATTTATGAAAATATTTTTGGTGTCATCTAACCGTTGCAATCAGTGCACAAACACTGTGACATATGATTTATAGCATAACGGGCTGCCCTATCAATACAAATTTAACATACAGGCCGCCTAGCCGTGGGGATGCAGTGGTCGGGATGAATATCACGGCAGCAACTGATGATTTGGGCATGTCTGGTAACAACGTATGGAGTGAAACTCGCTAACTTCACGAATTTGAAGATTTTGTACAATTTCTTTGAAAATGATGAAAGATATGTCTGATTTGGCAGGGTAATGTCGCAGCCAAATGGCAGTCACTCTTTCTGACACAGTCCGGATCGAAAGATGACGATACTCGTGAAATGTTTTGATACTTCTAAATATAGGATCGTATCGAACATTCCTACTGTCAAGATGTATAACCCAAGGTACCGACGGAACTATATTGCGGCGTCAAGGAAATAATTTTAAATTTTCATTTGCATTTTTTCAAGTGTTGTGCAATGATTTTGGGAAAAATGTCACGAATAGTCTTATAAAGCATAGTAGAGTATATTTCAACAGTTGGCGGAACTTACTCCACTGGGACCAGGAGGGTGAAACGGGATATTAATGCACCATCTAGCAACCCTGTCGCACCCTCACAAAATGGCCGCTGATGACCCCACAAGTCACCGTGTTGTCATTGAATAGCATGGAATTAAACCTTCAAAGTATAATATGTTTTGTGACTGGTACCAAGAGTTGACAGATCTCATACATGTGTCACTCCTTGAAATGAAATAATCAGCTGTATTCAAATAATGTCTAATATAAATATAACCTAGAATGTGTATTCGTGAAAAAAGAAAAATATGGCAAATTTGTAGTTTTTTTTGCAGGTCTTAGGTTTAAGGCGTATATTTGGGAATTTATTAATCGCTGTGAATATAGTGTGGATGTTTGTTCAGTTCCTGAACAACGAAGCATATTCAACTTTATGGATGTGTGGATATCAAAAAACCTGAATGGTTTTGTGGGAATATCAATCTAAGGTGCCATAATGGTTCTGATGAACGGCAAGTAAATAAATGAATGTTTGGAAACGAGTAATACCGTTTGGTAGAGCCTGTCATCAAGTAGGTGCTTAATGGCTATCTGCAAGAGGTTTATAGGAAAAAACACCCAGTATCACATATCAATTGAAGAAAATAATATAAACATGAATAAAAACTCAACAATAGCAATTAAAACATGAATTTAATTCAAAAATCAAACATTTCTTAAAATTTTGGTGAAATTGGGCCTAAAAAAACTAAAAAATTCAATTCAATTCAGAGTAAAAAGCGTACAATTTTTGGACGGTCGAAAACCAACTCAGGATTAATCGCAACATTCGCAATGAACAAGGTGAGAATGCACTACGTTGAAAAAGTATCTGCCTCCGTTGTGCCGTGCCGAGTGCCCGAACCAACAAACAGTAAGTTCGGAACTGAACGCATGCGCAGGTGGCCCGCTAGCTCTATCTCTCTTACTCCCCTAGAGAATCTATAAAAGAATTTATCAATCCTGGCGGTCCTAATAAAGATAACGGAAAACTGTTATCAAATTATGACATTGTCATCGATCCTTGATACGTGTGCGAAGTTTCAAACTAATCAAACTTCTGGAAATTGGTGACAATTATGTTCAAAGATTCCGCGTTACATACATACATGCAGGCCAAGCTAATAAAAGCATGTTAAAAACCACGGATACAGAGAACAACAACACCTTATATACCTACCGCTTAAAACACGTGAATTACAAGTTTAGTATAATGGGTGCTTCGGCCTAAGGTCGTATGATTAGACATGACTATCACAACGTTGCCTAGTTTCTTACTTCGTGGCTTGTTAGCTGTGGGTGACTATGACACAACCTTTAAGTCGTAAGGAAATTGAGAAAGTAAAATTACACGCATTGTGACAAATATTTATTGGTCAAAATCAACATTATCTACATCATAGTATAGTGTTCAATTTGAACACTAGTAGAATGATCATCCTACCACTACTCTATAACGAACGTTATAGTACGGGTAATATGTATATGGAGGAACAGCATACGACCAACTCCATCCATAAGGCCATACTCCTACTGCCTGTAACAGATATACTGACATAATTAAATGTGCTAGCTCATCATAAACATTGCAGTGTAAACATTACGGTGAATAGACCTTAGTATGCAACTTTTTCAAAGTACAGATTAAATGACAATATACATGGTATCGTGAAAAAAGTGTGCAATATTCTACCAGCGGTTTCTAGAGCTTAAAATAGGAAGAAAAGTTTATATAAACATAGGTCGACAAACGTCCACTAAGGGTGCTACGGTCTTTTAAAGGCGCTCCCCTGAAGGTGGTTTTTCCTAAATATTTCCGAAACTTGTTGAGATAAAAACATAAAATATAGTATTTTGGCCTAGCTTTTTATGCTGGATTTAGAAATATTAACAATTTTAGACAGTTTTGTTTGGAAGCGTATGTAACAGGGACGGACTCAGGTTATTTGAGCCCCAAAATTTTTGTGTGATTCTATTTTTGAAATTCAATTTTAGAATTTGAAAATTTAGGGTTTTCTACATAAAAAGGTACTCTTATTGAATATCGATAAATTGTGCCGTTTTTGAATAAAATCAAACTAAAGAATTTGTCACATGATAGGAAATGTACTGCGAATTTAAAAGAATTGTTGAATAATTAGCCATGGCAACGAAAAAACTAATTTAATAATTGGTAAATATTACATAAATACATATTTCTATTACAACATAGCTAATATTTAGGCAAAAACAAAAGAAATAATTTTTTTCTACGAACGAAATTGAAATTTGTTTAAAAAAGAAGACATACAGTTGGATATACTTAAAACTAGCTTCACAATAAGTGTTCAAATAAATTTCCATCTTGTTGGATACAGAGTTTTGCTCGACGAACTAATGATTGCGTAGCCCGAAGTGGAAAACCTTTTTCTTCTTATTTCATTTGCAGCCTGATGGATTCTTTGAAGTAAATCTTCTTGAGTATTTACTTCAGTCGAGTAAACTAGGTCTTTTAATGAACCCCAAAAATAGGAATCCAATGGATTTAGGTTATGTGAACGAGGCGGCCGCGCTATAGGACCTCCTCGGCCTAACCACCTGTCTGGAAAATTGACATTCAACCAATTTCGAACATTGCGTCGAAAATGTGCAGCGGCGCCATCATGTTTTCTTGAAACTGCTGGCGAACATCCAATGGTATTATATCCATGAGCTCATTCTGAAGAAAGTTCAGATACGCCTCTGAATTAAGACGATTGGGAAGTACAATAGGCCCAATTACTTGATCCCCAATTACTCCTGCCCATAAGTTCAATGAAAATCTATGTTGGAAATTTGTACGGCGAACAACTTTTGGATTTTCATCTGACCCGTGATGCATGTTATGGAAATTAAAAGCACCATTCCTAGTAAATATTGACTCATCCGACCATAATATTCTGAGTTTTCATTTGCAAAACTCGATTCGTGGTAAAAAATCTGTCTCCTTTAAATGCTGCACCCGTTTAAAATGATAAGGATGTGATCGTTGCATTCTTGTCATTCTTCCTATCTAAAATTATTATTTTTAGGATAACTATCTAATAGGTATTCATAAATTTTTCTTACTTCCTGACCACTGCTTGCGCTAAAAACTTCCATGGTTTGACAAATTCCGGTAAATATCAGTAAACATTCGACGTCCAGGTACTATGCGATTGGGAAATCTTCTTTGATATTCTCTTACGGCTGCCAATGAACTGCCATTGCAAAACCCGTACACAAAATGCATGTCAGTCACTTCTCTGTCTGTAAATCTTGGCATTTTAAATCGATTTAATAAAAATTTCGATTTTAATCTAGTAATTTTACACTGCTAACAATGTCAGCTTAACGTCAAAGTAAGTCATAACAAATCAAAATAACTTTTGTTTGCAGTCATTGCTAACTATCAACTATCAACAATTCATTTAAAGTCGCAGTACATTTCCTATCATGTGACAAATTCTTTAGTTTGATTTTATTCAAAAATGACACAATTTATCGATATTCAATAAGAGTACCTTTTTATGTAGAAAACCCTAAGTTTTCAAATTCTAAAATTGAATTTCAAAAATAGAATCACACAAAAATTTTGGGGCTAAAATAAACTCTCTAAAATTGTTAATATTTTTAAATCCAGCATAAAAAACTAGGCTAGAATACCAAATTTTATGTCTTTATCTCAACACGTTTCGGAAATATTAAGGAAAAACCATCTTTAAGGGAGTCCCTTTAAAAGACCGTAGCGCCCTTAGGGGACGTTTGTCGACCTATGTTTATATAAACTTTTCTTCCTATTTTAAGCTCTAGAAACCACTGGTAGAATATTGCACACTTTTTTCGGGACACCCTGTATTTCTATACAGGGTGTCCGCAAAGTTGGGGTTTTCCTTTACACGACGTGTAGATCTTGAAAACATAAGCAATTTTTCTTAGTACCGTATACACCAATGTCTTAAGGGAACCGAGATAAAGGGCTCTGCAGCATCAAAAATATCTGAATACCGTCCTGTAGCCGCGACCCGCGATATCTCAGACTGGTACCGGCTACTAGCTGAACCCGACGACAGAACTGGGTCGGGGGTCGGGGTCAGTTTGTCAGGTCAGTATGCAACCTTCAACTGACGGTAAAGGGTCACGCGTATAGAGGTAACGAGCCCGTATAATCGATTGCGTTTAAAAAAAAATAATAATGGCACACTCATACACCAATAATGAACTAGTTGATATGTTATTAATTTATGGCGAATGTCTTCAAAATGATACAGAATTGTCGCGAGTGTATGCAGATCGTTTCCCTAGACGACATCATCCAAGGCCCCGCAGATTTGTGTACCTGGCCCAGAGAGTCAGGGATACGGGCCATTTGGAGGAATTTCGAGGTGGGCACAGTGGGAGGCCTAGATAACCACGAATGGTGCAAGTTGAGGAAGAACTACTGAATCGCGTAGACGAGAATCCCTCAACAATTACTAGAGACGTGCAAGTATCAAAAACTAAAGTGTGGCAAACGTCCAACGTGTACAAGCCCTTCAACCTGACGATTTTCCAGCAAGAGTGCGGTTTTGTGAGTGGTTGTTGCATCAACATGACAATAATCCGGACTTTTTGAAGTGCATATTGGTGACAGACGAATCTACGTTCACGCGTAATGGGGTGAATAACTTTCGATTTCAGGCAGAGATGTACTTAGCCCTTCTCGTCAACTGGAGAGTGAGTACTTTTTCCTTTATTTTTTTTACTTGGTCGCCCTCGTTTCACTACACATTACCTTTGTTATGTCAAGGGTAGTTGTTTCTGAAAAGGAGGAACCCCAACTTTGCGGACACCCTGTATATACAGAAACAACTACCCTTGAAATAACAAAGGTAATGTGTAGTGAAACTAGGGCGACCAAGTAAAAAAAAATAAAGGAAAAAGTACCCACTCTCCAGTTGACGAGAAGGGCTAAGTACGTCTCTGCCCGAAATCACACCGCTCCAACAGAAAATGAAATCAGCTGATGCGCTACCGAGCAGACGCAGGCAAACAAGGAAGGCAAAATGTTGTGTAAAAAGTCTAGGTATTGCATCCCGTCCAATCGATTTGGGAGAATAAATGGTCCAATGAGCATACCGTTCACCATGCCAGCCCAAACATTCACCGAAAATGTTTGTTGAAAATGTGCCCGACGGACAGCGTGCGGATTTTCTACTGACCAAACATGAGTGATGCGAAAGTTATTCACCCCATTACGCGTGAACGTAGATTCGTCTGTCACCAATATGCACTTCATAAAGTCCGGATTATTGTCCTGTTGATGCAACAATCACTCACAAAACCGCACTCTTGCTGGAAAATCCTCAGGTTGAAGGGCTTGTACACGTTGGACGTGAAACGGATACAGCCCCTCTTCACACAGCGTTTGCCGCACTTTAGTTTTTGAGCCACGTCTCTAGTATTGTTGAGGGATTCTCGTCTACGCGATTACCTCTACACGCGTGACCGTAACCGTCGGTTGAAGGTTGCATACTGACCTGACACACTGACCCCGACCCAGTTCTGTCGTCGGGTTGAGCTAGTGTCCTAGTACCACTCGGGGATGTCGCGGCTACAGGACGGTATTCAGATATTTTTGATGTTGCAGAGCCCTTTATCTCGGTTCCCTTAAGACATTGGTGTATATGGTACTAAGAAAAATTGCTTATGTTTTCAAGATCTACACGTCGTGTAAAGGAAAACGCCAACTTTGCGGACACCCTGTATACACTTGACTGCTAGGTGACAGTTCATTTCTTTTTCCACTACTATTCAGTGTGTTGCAGCAATAGCCTGTATATGAGCGGAAAAAACAAACGAATTGTCATCTGGAAGATAGATAACTATGAAGGATATTGACATTGTTATTTTGATCTGTACTTTAATGAGGGTCACCATTGCGGCCGAAATGCCAGTAATGAGTAATTTCTACAAATCTGCTTCCATTTGGCAAGAAAAGCAAGTTTCAGTTGTCACATTCGACCCTCACGTTGTATAGCACATGCACACGCAAGTCTTTGATTATCATTGGTTATTTTAAAACAAACAACATTGAGAAGCAGTACTTACAAAAAATGGATTTGGATTTGCGTTAGGATCAGGATCTGGCGTTGGCTTAGCTAGGACTACTGAGGCTGTACTCAAAAGTATTGAAATAGTAATCAGGATTATTCTAATTACAGCCTGCAAAAAGATTATCCAAATTATCCCTGAAAATCTAGGTATTATATTATAGATGATTCAGAAAAAGGTGGCAATATTTCTACAGCGGAAACTTTAGGACCTACCGCTATAAATTGACCCCCTATAACTTTTTCGTATGACCGTTTAGAAAAATTAAATGTTTTATACGACAGTTTTAGGGTCCAGTATGAAGGTTTACAGGAATTCTCCGATAAGCGCTATCGAATAAATCTGTAATTTTCTAATAGAACACCCTGGAGAATCTTACTAAACATGCTTTTTGCTGATTATAAATATATATGATTTGTTATACATATTTCCATTCATATGGTCAAGAACTTATTATGTGTGTCATTTATTCATGCGTATCTATCAAAACAGTTTGCATCTAGCCGCCTCTGCAGTCTGGCATAGCCGGACACATAAGATCTAAGGTGTCGCCTATAGTAATGAAAATAAGTATAATGATCTATATATATTTAGAATCAGAAAAAAGGCGAGTATCATTTTCACTAATGATGTACAAGATGTTCCATTTGAAAAGTAGAACTTTATACGACAGAACTTTTCCACATCTAAAAAAGAAATTATATAAACCTTTTTTAAGGTTAAGAGGGAGGTCAATTTATAGCGGGCCACCCCGTAATTCTAAAAGTAGCAAAATAAAGGTCCTACAAACATGTACCATTACTAAAATACAGGTTGTAGATTTGTACACTACTAATAAGATTGAACAAGGGCACAACACGAACACGCTATATACAGGGTGTTCCAGTTTATTGTTGCATAACTTTAAGATTCGATAGAACTTTTAAAATTGATGCATAAAGTCTATATAAACATGGGTCGAAAAATGCGTGGCTTCCGAAATACAGGGTGTTTAAATTTACTTTTTAAAATAGTTTTTTTTTTAAATATTTCGAACAATATTCGATGTATAACAGTGAAAATTGGTATACAAGGGTTTTTTGGTACGACAAAACGAACCATGGGCATAGTTTTACTGTATCCGCTAGAGGGCGCTCTCTACTGTACCTGTAGTGTATTAAAATGACCGAAAATTTTTTCTTAGTGCAATTTTTTGCTTTTTGAATAAAAAACTGATTCTTCGCACTTTTCAACATAAAAAAGCTTTCTTGTGAATTTTCGTTATAGTTAGCCGTTTTTGAGATATTTCGATTTTTAAGGTTCGATGCATTTTTAATTATTTATGATAAAATAACGTTAAAAAGACAGTATCAGTATATAATTTTTAGTAGTAGGCTGTGTCTGCAAATATTTTTGAAATTGAAAGCAGAATAAGGTTAAACGTCAATTAGTTGACAGTTAGTTTTGTTGTCTGTTGAAACCTGAAACGTTTTTTTGCAATTGTGAATGCACGAAATTTAGTTTCTTTTATCTGTTTCTTTTTGTAAGTTTTATGAAAATGCCATATTTATTCTCCAATCAAGAGTTAGCGGATATTCATTTTGTGTATGGCTTTGTAAATGGAAACGCAGCAGAAGCAGCCAGAGAATACGCACGAAGATTTCCAAACAGACGACATCCAACTCGCTCAGTATTTGTAAGAGTGCATCGCCCAATAATTGAAAATGGTTTTGGAAATCTCCAAAGGGATTAAAACATAAATGTTCGTCAGCGCAGATTTACCCGTATGATTCTGCGTGAGTTTGATAGAGATCCGACCACAAGTGTTAGGAGAGTTTCTGGTGTCTTGGGAATTTCAGCAAGCCATGTTCATCGTGTTCTTAGAAATGACCATAGACGTCCTTACCATTTGCAACCTGTGCAAGGACTACAGCCGGGGGACGGAGAACGAAGAATCACATTTTGTCAGTGGATTCTTGATAGAACTGATAATAATAGGGAGTTTTTAAGTAACGTTTTATGGACCGATGAGTCATGCTTCACTAGACGTGGAGTGGTAAATTTTCATAATCAACATATTTGGTCGTATGAAAATCCGCATACAGTTCGGGAAAGAAATTTTCAGCATGAATTTAATGTGAACGTGTGGATTGGAATCTACCGTAATCAACTATTTGGACCCTACCTTTTGCCTGCAAGGTTAAATGCTGCGACCTTCTTGGAATTTTTAAAGGCTGAACATGCAAATATGTGGGATGATGTTATGTTAGATGTAAGAAGATTGGCCTGGTTCCAGCTTGATGGTTGTCCAGCTCTTTATTCGAGAATAGTTAAAAACTGGCTGGACGAAAATTATCCAGAAAGATGGATCGGCCGCGGAGGACCAGCCGCCTGGCCTCCACGATCCCCTGACCTAAATCCATTAGATTTCTTTTTGTGGGGATTTCTAAAAGAAACAGTCTACCAGACTCCCGTAACCACAAGAGATATGCTAATAGACAGAATCAGGAATGCATGTGATGAAATAAGGCCTTTTTGAATAACGCTATACCACGTTCGATCATTCGTAGATGTGAATTGTGTATTGAACAATTGTGTTTACATTTCGAGCAACTACTTTAGATTTTGTATGTTTGTCCTAACTATCCAATAGCATTTTAGTTGTAAATAATTAATTTAATTTGTTAAAAATAATATTGGAAAATTAAACAAATTAATATTCTGTTTTTTTGTGTTTATTTGGAGTTAGGAATTATTGCTGTGTTTAAAAACACAATCTAAACGATCATCTTAATTACTTGTAATGCCCAAATCGAAAATGTAAAAAAATATTATTTTCCCATAAATAATTAAAAATGCATCGAACCTTAAAAATCGAAATATCTCAAAAACGGCTAACTATAACAAAAACTCACAGGATAGCTTTTTTATGTTGAAAAGTGCGAAGAATCTGTTTTTTTATTCAAAAAGGAAAAAATTGCACCCTGAAAATATTTTCGGTCATTTTTATACACTACAGGTACACTAGAAAGCGCCCTCTAGCGGCTACAGTAAAACTATGCCCATGGTTCGTTTTGTCGTACCAAAAAACCCTTGTATACCAATTTTCACTGTTATACATCAAATATTGTTCGAAATATTTAAAAAAAACTATTTTAGAAGGTAAATTTAAACACCCTGTATTTCGGAAGCCACGCATTTTTCGACCCATGTTTATATAGAGTTAATGCATGAATTTTAAAAGTTCTATCGAATCTTAAAGTTATGCAACAATAAACTGAAACACCCTGTATAGTGAGACAGGAAAAATATACTACAAATAACATTTAATGTCAAGCGTAACTAACTAAATATTTTAATGTTTTCGATTTTTAATATAGAACTTGTTTACAAATTTGGAATTCCCGAACCAAAATATTTTACACATGATATTCGCACTTACCCCAGACATCATAGTTCAGTTATAATGCACTCGGTGTACCTGTTAGATATTAAAATGAATGAATTAAAATTAATGAGCACCACCGTTTTTATACTTGATTAATACGTTAACAGAAAACTGGTCAATAATAATTGTGTTGGGACGTCAACAGAATTCCCACATCATTATCAATGACATCTAAGTAATTGAAACTTTATATTTTTGCATCCACGCCTCTAATTGAATATCATACTAAATTTGGAGGAAGGTAATCTGTCTATGGATTTTTTTTTTTTGGTACTGGTGCTAGTCTCATTCATGATAGAAGGTAAGAACTATGTACTTTTGGAAAAGCTCTCTCTTCTACCGCTATACCAACGACTATTGCTCTTCTAAGCACTTCTTGTCGATGCCGTGACAGAATTACGTCGGGCTCTGTCCACGTTCTGTCACAGGTTTTTCGACGCAAGCTTTGAACTGTTTTATATGGGGTTGTCCAAAACGGAGGCAGGAAAATAAACGCATATTAAAACAAGAAAGATTGATATTCAAATCAAGTTGGGTACTTTATTTTGAAGGTTCATTTATACCATTTATGTATGAAAAATAATATCGCTCAAATGTTCACCACGACTGGATTTACAGACGTCCACGCGATGGTCGAAATTTTCAATGACATTTTGCAACATGGTCGGTTCTATGGCATTTATCTCGGCAATGATGTTGTTTTTGAGTTCTTGGAGGGTGGCTGGTTTGTTGACGTAGACTTTGCTTTTCAAATATCCCCATAAAAAGAAGTCCAAGGGAGTCAAATCGCACGATCTTGGTGGCCATGGCACATTTCCTCTGCGCGAAATCACGCGATCACCGAAGAAGGACTGCAATCGATGGATATTGACGTTGGTTGTGTGGCATGTTGCACCGTCTTGTTGGAAATAAACATCGTCCATATCCATTCCTTCAAGTTGCGGCAAAAAATAGTCCTCTATCATCACGTGATATCGCTCAGAATTGACGGTAACGGCGTCCCCGGCTGCATTTTCGAAAAAGTAAGGTCCGATGATGCCTTTGACCACAATGCACACCACACAGTCACTTTTTGAGGATGCATCGGCTGTTCTTGATACTCACGGGGATTTTCGTTCGCCCAGATGCGGCAGTTTTGCTTGTTTACCGTCCCATTCAAAGTGAAATGCGCTTCGTCGCTGAACATGATTTTTGATGAAAAATTGGCATCAATTTGGCGGTGTTCAAGGAGCCAATCTGAGAACGTTCGGCGCGAAAAATGGTCGGCCCGACGCAGCTCTTGCGTCAATTGGATCTTGTAGGCGTGTACATTCAAATCCTTGTGGAGAATGCGGAGCAAACCAATTCTTGGGATCGACGCGTTGTTGATTGTTTCGGATCGTCTCTCACACTCTCCTCCACAACAGCAATATTTTCCGGTGTGCGAACGCTCCTTGGCCGGCCAGAGCCTGGCAGATTTGCCACAGAACCTGTTGCCTCGAATTTACGCACCAGACAACCGATGGTTGTTTCGTTTGGGCGGTTATTGCGACCGAAATGTTCACGAAGCGCGCGAAACGTGTTTTTTATTTTTGCACCATTTTTGTAGTGCTCTTGAATAACTTTAATGCGGTCTTCAATCGAATACGACTCCATAGCGATCAATGGTAAACATTCAACTAACAAAATGACTTGTCGGTGACAGAAAACAAAGATGGCGTCTATGTCAAATTGACGTTTACTTTCCTGCGTCCCTATTGGACAACCCACTACTTACATAACCATAAATCCATTTTCCGCTAGATCATTCAAAATCCAGAGTTAAGAGAATCACCAGAAGGTCGGTTATATCGGTCTTTCTCTACCATAGACGACCCCCCCCCAACTCTCGAATGCCCCAGATTCAAAATACACTGTGCGAGAAATAACCTACAGGTATAAGACCTTAAGAAGGGTGCTCTTTTCGCTCGACATCAACAAAGCTTCTGTTCCGGACTTGTTTCCGGTCGTCGTACTGAAGAGATGTGCAACGGGCTTGCTCAAATTTTTTTGCATCTCTCAGATATCTTACGGATCCCAACTTATTACAAGAAAGGGATCTAAGACCGACCCTTACAGCTACAGGAATATAGTTCTGCTTCTGTAATAAGTAAGATGATGTAGAGGTGCATAGATCGGCAGCTTCTGGAGTACCTCGAACGTCACGGCCTGATTAACGAGATATTTTTCGGCACGAGCGATCCACCTAGGAGCTACTAGCTTACGTCAGGTAACTGTGGAGTAAACTTTTATAGTGAGACTGATGTCGTTGCTCTTGATATCACGAAAGCATTCGGTGAGCTACGGCATGCTGTCCTGTTGAGTAAACTTCCATCGTATGGCCTCCCAGAGAAGCTTTGCACATGGGCGGCTAACTTTTCCTCTGGCCGCAAGACATCCGTCGTAATTGATGTGCCTGCCAGACAGACCCGCCTGACTTCAGTCTCCCATATTAATCGTGTCGGACTTCGTACATCCAGAACTGGTCGATACGACCGCTTATTTGTTACTAAGGTATCGAGATTGTGGAACAACCTAGCTGAGAAGGCTTTTATCAGTTCTAGTAACCATTTAATCATTCAAAAAATCAGACTAATTTTTTTTAAGCTCCTCTTAGCAGCCGCGGTATTTAGGCTTCTACCTGCGCGGCTGCTGCAGTATAAAAGAAAAAAGTGAACGGCGGAAGGATAAACAACGGATTAAGAAGACTACTGTAACCTATATATTTACTTTTATTGTCACTTTTATTTGTAATTTTAATGTAAAATACAAAACATACAGAAATAGAAGGTTACACAGACAGATCAAGAGGAAATAACCTTAACAATTGATAAATTGTAGTACATGCCCAATTCAACATTTAATGTTGTACATTATACGCAGGCAGCATCAACACTTCACTCTAAGCTTTGAATTTGATCACGATAACAAACAAAATTTCCGAGTGCTACGCCTAAGATTATCTAAAAATGGAGATACATTCGACACACAAAAGCTGACTAGCCGCTTGTAAACTAATGTTGTATTATACGAGTAGATAATCTCAACATCATTTAGAAAAATATCAGTATGAAATAATAACAGATATTGAAACTTCGCAGGTCTCATTCATATACACCATGAAATCTCAGATTCTATTTTGACCATATTTTTATATACTTAATGGCCTGAACGTTTTAAAGTTCATAAAATAGGCAACCTTTGCAGCTGAATTTGATGATTATCAAAAAGGTGGATGATTTTCATGGCAAAACTACTCTGTTTTTCTTCAATAGTGTAAAACGGTCGGCCGTGTTCTGTCCGAATTCCCAGAACATTCTTTGACAAGAGATGAAGCGTTCAAGGAAAAACGTTTTATCTCAAAAATGAACATTTACTTTTGTCAATAGATGAACAACAAACGGGTGTAAATTAATACAAGAAACTTGATGCATATTTCTAATAATGTATTTCAACAAGCTACTCAGCAAAAACTGTACCCAATCTATTATCAATAAAAAATGTGTGACTGATATTTTAAACAATACATATCTCAAGGTTTATACTGCAGTACTTAGGTAAAATGCAGTAACATTCATGAACTGCCTTTTTGAATTTCCATACTAATTAGATTTCCTAAGCATAAAAGGAGTAAGTCTGCTGCTTTTATTATCTGTATGACACAAATACTGCCTTTTGACCCTTTACAACGTATTATGATATTTACTTATTTAGTTTTTATGTAATAATTACTTTTGAATAAGTTTTACCATTATAAATAATTACTTTTACTCTGAAAGAATAATTTTCAAAATATTCTTCGTTAAACTTAACATATAAGAAATCATGCTGTTTTAGTTTATTTATATAATTTCTTTTGTTGAATCTACTTATTAAATGTAAATATATAATCATTGAACTGAATTATTAGATGTTGAAAAGATTTACTTTTGCGCTATTTACGTGAATTTCAGTATGAATAAATTATATTGGAATATACTAAAGGTCTGCATTTTTTCATTGAAAAAAATAATATAAATATATTATGAAAACTGTGAAAAAGGCCATAAATTTATTTTTGCAGAGTATAAGAGCAGTGAATCGTGTATTACTGATTTTTAATTTACGACAATTAATGGCAGAATGATATTTATTTTAGGTCTCGACAATAGCTATGATCCGAAATCACACTTAAATGACTCTATATTAAATCATGTAACTTCACAATATTAATTCCCTTTTGGTCTGTAGTAATAATCCCATTTATATAGTTCGAACAAATTCAGAATTTTGAACTTTCTCAGCCTTCGATTCTTACACATTACTGCTCTTCACCTGCGTAGACTAGATATTCGCGTAAGTATACCCAAAAATACACTGTAATAAATTTAATTTCCGCACCTAAGAATTAAGCTGTATACGAAACAGATCCACTTCTCTTTCCTTTTTTATTTCGTTTCCTTTTTCCCTTGAATGGATACATTCATTTTAATAATCATCGAACTTCAGCATTCAACTAACAAATAACGATCTGTAATGATATTAACAAAAACATTGAACGTTTTTTAGTGCTATACTAAGTACAGAGTTATAAATTCATAGTATATAGAAATACTCCACATATACATCAGATATACATGCATTATAAAATAACTTATTGTCATCAAGAACAGCCTTAAGACATGTTGTCCATTTTGTGCATATCATAGTGTAAGTTTAAATTATCCTATATCTTAAGCACTAGTTTATTGTCGAAATTGCACAGACGATAATTACTTTGTTTTTAGTTTTCACCTTAGTAGAATATCCTATTATATGTGTAGAAATATCATATCGAATATTTGTTCAAGAGTACACAAGAGTTCGTTACCTTATGACGTTACGTTATTTTCTTTGGCTACCAGTAACTATTTAAAATATTGTAAACGGGTTTCAACCTTGCAAATTCTCGGACTTTCCAGATTTTTAGCTACGATAATACGGGGTATTTTCAAAAAATGTGGTAAAAATTCAAAGTGTGATACTTTGGACCACACTATTTCCGAAAAATAATAGCTTTGTCTGGAATGTAGAAGAGAAACAATGTTTCGCAAAATTAGGTACATTATAATTATTAGTAAGCACAAAGTTTTAAACTTTTTTTGCAAAAATGTCCTCTAGTTATGATGAAAATAAGTAATATTTTCATCGGTAAGGCCTGGTGTTTAACTGACTGTTGAAAGCTGTTTATAGTTTGAATCATAGTTGTCGAGGTTTTGGTTTTAACGTAGTCTAAGCAACCGCTCCTTGAATTTTTGCACCTGTACAAAGTTCGGCCATTATATAGAAATCAGACATCATGCGTACTCCTAAACGTATCATATCAGGAGTAAAATTTATTTACCTTCTCTTTGTTGGATATAGATATTCCAGAAAAAAATCTGTCGACAAATCGATAAACTGTTCCTGTTTATTTTTGCATCGAAAACCAGGAGTGTAATTGACGCTTTGATCTTTGTTTGCAGATATGATACGATTGACATGTTATACCAGATCCAGTTTGATATGTCTTAAATTAAAACGATTTATAGTCGCGTATAAGCATCGATATAATACGCCAGTGAAAATCATACCAGAATGTCAAATAGCACTGTTTTTTTAATGGTCTTTGTTTTCTAGATGACTTGAAATATTGGTAACGAATATACGAGTTGCGTTCGTTTTAGACCCAATTTCATGAACGCTCGTCTCACTAAAGATTGTTCAGTTTATTACACGTTTTTTTTACGAAAGCACAGTTTGAATGAGGTGCAATTTATTTCTTCCTCCTTACCCCAACTGCATTAACAACAGATCATCTTTAATTGAGGGAGACATCACTTTGGCGCCATTATATTCATTGGGTAACGTGTTAAGTAATTCTTCAGGTATGTAAAAAACGTTTCTTATTGTTTCTTACATGAACAATTTTTGAATACATGAGGTACAGGTTCATGTTCTGTGGTAATCTTCTCATCCTGGCGTTTTCAATCGAGTTTCAAATGTTTAATCACCCAAACAGATAATTAATGTTCCGGATTTCAGATCAGAATGCCACGGAAGTGTGTTAATGCCATCGACAACTTTTCTTACGACTGTGGTGAAATAACTTTTAAAGCCATCAGCCCAGTTGTGAAGACAGCTTACTGCCATTACTTCGGTGTGAAGACAAGCCATCAGGATAGACCGTGGGCCCGACATGTTTCTTGTAAGTCCTGCTCGGTGAGACTGCGAGAATGACACTTTTGACAATGTTGTCAAAGCTGTCATGTACTAAAGAATGTCACCGTTGTGACCGAAACATATACTACATTAAAGAAGAATTTCAAATACATGTGGTTTCATTGGTCAGTGAAACATTGGGGGACATGGGCACCCATTGGGGGGAGTATGCCCTCCATAGCTTCTGCTTCAAAGTGAAATATTCCTAATAAGATACCCAATCAGTGGGTAAGAAGTGGGGTGTGAGTTTTTTTGCTCTTCAAAACATCCCAATATAGAAGATATGATTTCTGCTACTATTTTGAATATTTGGCAAATGAGCTTCCCCTAGGGTATAAATAAAACTCATTGTGCAACATAGCCTTAACTGGTGCGAGAAATGGAAAATCCGCATCAACGTCCAGAAGACGCAGGCAATCTTCATCCAACGAAGAAGGATTGCAAGACCTCTCGAAGCATCCATCTTCGACGAAGATATCCAGTGGAGCGACAAAGTCATATATCTGGGGATCGTATTTGACAAGTCCCTCACCTGGAAAGATCACATAGAAGCTGTCATCGCAAAGACCAGAGCAGCCATGGCCCAACTCTACCTATTACTGGGTAGACACAGCCGGATGCCGCTAGCGACCAAGCTACGGCTAATCAAGGCCATAACCAGACCTCAGCTGGTTTACGCCTCCGCGGTCTGGGGGTACGCTGCTCCCAGCTACCGCAAGCGACTTACTGCTCTAGAGATAAAGCTACTCCGGATCGCCACCAGTGCACCATCCTACGTAAGAAACTCAACATTGCGTAGAGACCTGCATTGGGACACCATTCACGAGTACATGAGGAAAAAAGCGGAGAAGACCTTCCAGAAAACTCAGGGCCATCCGAACGAGCAGATAGGACTCCTCATGGACTACGATCCGGACGAGAGGCCTCGCAACCGCGGAGTCAAGTACCCTAGACCCAAGTCACAGTTGGCAGGCGATAACTGGAACCTTGACTAGGAGAGCTCGCGGTTGCTCCTCCCCACGGCGTGGAAGCAGAGGACGAGGACCAGGACGACCAGGACTAGAACTCATCTGGACCAGGACCCTCCAGGACCAGGAACCACCAGGACCAGGACCCATCGGGACCAGGACCAACCAAGACCAGGACCCATCAGGACCAGGTAAGAGGACTTGAAACTCTTGATTTTTCGAAAACAAGAGTTTCAAAAGAACATAGCAAACCCTCTATCGATGCTCGCTTAACGACATCGATAGAACTGTGCGAGGTAAAGGGAACCAACCCGGCGTTCCCAGAGACTGAAACACATGAGGAGATGTAGCAGACCGCAGGTCACGCACAACACATGGCCTACCGAGACGCTGATGAGTTGGGCCACGCGGAGGTTAGGGTTTAGTGGGTATTAGGTGGTCTCCTGAAGACAACCTAGAGTCCCACACACGCCGTAGCTCGGGCTATGGTGTGGTGCATAAACGCATTCCCCCCTCACCAAAAAAAATAGCCTTAGATTAGCGGCCAAACAGCGGTGGTGACGGGATGATGCGCACGATTCAATTATGCGTTTTGTATTCGATTGCTGATTGCTGCGTTGCTACAAAAAATCGTGCATAACGCGACTTATTATTTGTAGTATTGATGTTTCTATACTAGCCTTTGGGGTATTTTTTTTTTGTTAAATTGCCTCACCGATCTTTTTGTACCTGCTTTTTTGCTGAAGGAATTGATATAACTTATTTAAATCATTGTAAAAATGAAAAGTATTACTTTTTCTGTATAAAATCAGAATTTCTGATGTTTATGTTTTGCGGGCATTTATGTGACAAAATGCCTCAGTGGCGGGGTGTTTTTCTTACAAGCAATTCTTGATTTTGGGGCGTCTGACAGCATGTACCCGCCCCATAAATTTTTCCGATGATAGTAGTTCACGATATTACACATTTTTTTTTTATCTATTCTTCGAAACCCCAACTGCGAGGTAAATACTTGTTATATTGGAGCAGGTATGGCGTCATAAGGTCAATTACCTCACAGTTAGGATTTTTAAAATAGATCAATAAAAATCTGTAAAATCGAGAGGTACTATTGTTGTTAATAATTGTCTGTAAAAAAATGCCCCGCCGCTGACGTTTTTTGGCACACAAAAAGCTGTCCGATTCGACACAAAAAACACATTTACAGAACCTCAACGGTCAGGTAATTAATCAATTTTGTATATGGTGGGCCTGAGGCCCCGAGGCCTAAGTACTTTAAAAACTCTTTTTAATATTCAAAATGTCCACATTTACAATTTTTTGACTGGGCATGCAATCAGCGAATCCAGATTTACCGTTTTTGCGGTAGATTTACCATTATTGAGCCTTCACCTCCGTACAACAGGAAAACGATTAATTACTACCGTTTTTTATCGCACAAATTCCGATCATATCGATTCCTGCTTATCCAATAAAAAGGAGCATAGTGCTATATTTTGGGGAGGCGGCTTCAACTGCCACCAACGGGTTGGCCAGTTCTCAGCATCTTTGATCCTGCACAACCTGTAAACCAAACATGCCCTCCTGACCTCCTCATGTCGTTTGGACTGTTTCACTTCGCTTACAAAACGAACGCAACTTCAGCATAGCTTAGGCGCACAAAAATGTTTTCATTAGTCTAGCTATTGGACATCCCGTTCAAAACCTTATCCTAAAACACCTCTTAATTGAAACATAGACTCAGAGGTACATTTTCATAACCGTAATTGTTTCTAGTAGTAGGTAAGAAGGTACTCTAGTTATTGTCAATATTAGGCTATAGAGATACATTGTTAATATCAATCAATCAGTAATCGCTAGGATGTATTTAAATAAGACACAACCTCCAAAGCTACGGTCTAGAATCATATCAATGCTACGGAAATTTCCTGTAGTAATTTGCGATACTGACGCCATACTCTAAGAATTATCGGGAAACACAAATTGTGAGATGAGATGTATTTAGCAGTAAGTCAGATTACTTTTATCAGTCTGGTTAGCAGTCAGAATATATAGAATTTGTCTGTTTTATATAAATGATCGTCGGTGGATTCGGCAGTTAGCCGTCATTCTTCAAGGAGATTCCTTGATTCCACCTTCAATTACGGAACTCGACTCACGATTAAAAGTCAAGTCTAGCTTTACTTTGCTGTGACTTACTCATATACAAGGTAGGCTTTCGAAAAGACTAAAATATCAGTAAAAAATACAAATTGACTAAGTTAAGTTATCCATATTTACATTTTCCCTTAGTCATTACCTACACAATATTATTGTCATATGTTACATCAAAGCACGTAGTTTCACACCATATTACATACAATAATGCTAAGAAAATTATTCTGAGCTCTGGAATGAAACATCATCAACTTGGTTTTAAAAGTACTACGATTAGTTGCTATCAACTACCAGTACATATAAAAAACTTTTTCTTCGAGACTATACTTCAATACTAGTTGATATTGTTGCATTTTGACTCATAAGAAACATTTTTGTAAAAGCTGATCGCGTCCAAATTGGTTTCAACGTTTCAGTTGATATATTTCCAAATTCCGTAAAAATTACTTCGAACAAGGATATCTAATTCACGATGAAATATTAATTTAAAAACAGATTAGAAAATAAGTCATATAAAATTCATAGTAAATGTACGTAAAGACTTAACATCATAACATCATCACCAGCTTTACATTTTATTGTCGTTGACTAAAATTGTCACAACGCCACTTGCATATAGAAGAATCACTATGCCACTTATTGAAATTTCTTCCGGAGCATATACCTTGAAACTATACAAATGAGAAAATGTTATTTTATTATTTTTCGAAGATTGAGTGTGTTATTTAAAACCAAAATCCAGAAGTACCGATTAACGCACCCTTTATATCGTTTACCCGTAGAGTTATAGTACTTTCTTCTCTATACAAGAACAGTGTCGTGGCATTGAAACATATTTTGTCCCTTTTTTCCTATTATATTTCTGGATATTCCACCCCAATAGCTATACAAAAAAGCTTCGTTAACAGTAAAGACATACATATAGACAAACACAGTAAATTGGCTGATGGCATCAACCTGAGGTCGCTATTCTGGTCTGACGTGTATCCTGAATTCACCACGTTTATCTTCCAGCCTAAATTGTTGTGCATGTAACACTGGAAAGAAAAATTGCCGAAAATATTTTGGAAACCAAGTAAGGAAAACTTAGTTAAATTATAATGATTCACCTACCTGGTAGTAGAGAAGATCCGGAGCATCTAAGGGGACAGTCCAGTTTATAAAGCCTGGTTCTCCTTCATCACATACCAGCTGTAGACTTCTCATGAAATCTTCCAGTGATTCTGTTTCTAAGGATTTTTCTTCAGTTCTGCGTCTCCATTCACAGTATCTGAATCAAACAATTATAAATATGCTTGTTGAAAATATATGACTCGAAAAATGGTCTAAAATTACCTCCCGACTGCTGTAGGATATGGATATCCATCTTGATCATATTCAACACCGGCATACACCCTTTGAGCTAGACGTTCTTCATTTGACTTCTGTCCAAATCCACCTTCTGGAGAGTCTGTGATGTAGAGGGGATGATACCTAAATTGAAATAATAGTCACCGACGTGTGTACACGGAATTTGATACAGTGAGATGAAATAATAATATTTATTCACTCAATGTACAAAGATAACAAACAATATGAGTAGTAAATAAATATAAAATAAAAACAGATGTCAAAATTCAAAAGTTTCTAAAATCCTCACAGTGCTAAATTTTAGAAAAATTTTCAATATCTCCAATTTTTTTCTGTTTCCAAATTTAGAATTTCTAAAATATCAAATATTTCCAGAAAATCCAGATTTTCTAAAATTTCCGATAATTATAGTATTTCTAAAGTATCTCAAATTTCCGAAATTTAAAAAATACCACTTTCCAAGATTTCTGAAGTTTCCAAAATTTCTAGAATTTCCAGTATTTTTAAGATTTTCAAAACTTTTCTTAATTTTCAAAATTTTCAAAATGTTCAAAATTTTCAGAATTTTCAAAATTATCAGAATTTTAAAAATTTCCAAAATTTCCAAAATTTTCAGAATTTTTCAGAATTTTCAAGATTTTCAAAATTTTCAGAATTTTCAAAATTTTCAAAATTTTCAAAATTTTCAAAATTTTCAAAATTTCCAAAATTTTCAAAATTTTCAGAATTTTCAAAATTTTCAAAATTTTCAGAATATTCAAAATTTTCAACATTTTCAAAATTTCCAGAATTTCAAAAATTTACACAAGCCCCAAAATCTAAAATTTCTAGGATTTCTAAGATTCCCAATAGTGTCAAAGTTTCTGAAATCTACGAAATTTACAAAATATCCCATAATTTAAAAATTTCCGGTATTTCTAAAATTTCCATTATTTCCAAAATTCCCATAAGATCCGAATTTTCCATATTTTACTGAATTAAAAATTTACCTTGCGGGGTGCGAGTTGTCATTTCCTCCTTCCACAATAAACATGTACGTTTGACCCCTTTCAAGTGTTATTTCAGGTAGCAGAAGGTCATTGAGGTACCATACTATTCCCCAAGATGGAAGACCAGTGATCGCGGTGTATCCCCGTTTGCTACCTGGTGGACCTAGTCGTGCATTGAATACTGTTTCGCCTGAAAGAAAGGTAGAACTGAGTATACAATTTCTACCTAAATATTTTTGACAATCCATAAGTGCAGTAATATAGTTTCCAGTGCACCTAACCCTGTAATGCTCCTGAATCAGATGAATGGTAGGGTATGGTTGTTGATGAAAAACGTTTTTCATTTTTCAGTTGGAGCCCTAGTATTCGAGATATTACGCGATTTAATGTTTGAAAGCACGCAAAATATGATATTTTCGACTTTGGAAAACAATATGGAAAAACGAAAATTGTAATGGTTTTAATGGTTATAAAAAATTGATAACAAAATTGAAATTTGCTTGATTTCAAATTTGGTTGTTTTGTTTTTAATCTCACTAAGAAGTGCATAATGAATATAATTAATTTTTCAGTATAGTTGTGGTTTATTTCAGGTAGTTAATAGAACCCTTATTCCCAAAACAATGCGTAAAAAATTAGCTTTTAGAGGAAACAGATATTTATAAAGAAACATTACTTTTCCAATCGATTATCGGAAGAACTCGATAATTGCGCACCCTAATGTCATATCCTCGGACTGGTACAGAATTTAGACACTAGACTAGACCATAAAAGACTAGACTATACTTGTTCCAACAGGAAGAAGCACACCGTTGCTGTTGCTGGGAGAGTGGTCGCTAGTCGCATGCGCACTGATCGGATTGGCAGTGTTGCCGCTATCCTTTCTTAAAGTTACTGATTTTTTTATAAGACATTTACTTTATACCACCTTTTGAAAGACGACTCGAGTCGTCTGTGGGGTAATTACCCTCTTAATGCACCACCTTTTCGTGATAATTTACCAACTCATAGAAATACATCACTTTTTTAGCGGAGAGAATGCTTTTATGGCTTGCACTTTCACAGCAGAAGGATAGGTCTCAATAATTTGTAAGTATCATCGATAGTGGAATGCGCCTATTAAGTCCGACATGGCTCACATCTCCCTAGGCGTCCCTCATAGCTCTATTCTAGGACCTCTGCTATTCAGTCTATATTTAAATGACCTTGAGCTCTGTTCCTCTGAAAGTAGATGCATTTTATATGTAGATGATACTTCAGCGATGATACTGAATACCTTAGAGAGAGACTGTGGAGTTTTACTGCAAAATATTCACAAGTGGTTTAGCAGCATGTAAATTCTGAAAAAACGTCAGTCCAGCTTGCCTGGTCGTGTACGAGTTAAAATGATTTGAAAACCTATTTTTGTGAATAAAGGTATACACAGCCAATTTGTATAAAAATACAGATAGTGAAGTTAAAATATTAAGGCTTAAGGCTGTAGACTTGAATGTGTGTTTTTCCAAGTATAAGGTCGGCGTCAGATCTCCGGAAATACTGGATCCACGAATTTTCAATAGTTGGTAGCCTATTGAATATTAAACTGTGTGGAGATATACATAATTTTAACACTAAACTGACAGAATTTCTTGTAAGTAAATTTTATTGTGCCGTCTCTGAGTTTGTTATACATATATTTATTTTGTGTTGTTTTATTCGTTTTTATTCTGACGAATCCTATACATACATTGTAATGTCTCTTAGGATGATAAAAAAATTGATTTGATTTGATAAGTCACAATTCTTTCTGCCCGACGTGTGGAGGTTCCTCACTTGGACGCTTAAATTTGACCACGAGTTTTTTTCGCCATATCGTTAAACGGCTAAAAACAAGTTTAATATCAAGAAGTCATCTCTCATATTTCGCCTTTATCTGAAATCTGTAGCTTCGTCTTCATATGTTTAGAATCGCATTTTGGGACGGATCTTAAAAGTTGTAGTGTCATTATTTCTATTTATAGTTCGTATTTGCAGTCTTGATAAAAAGTGCTTAGTAGTGCTTCTCTGGTAAGGGGCGTACACGTTTCTGTTCACAGTAATACACTGAAAGGTATGTATTACTACTTACCCCCAATTTTTATCTGGATTGGAGCTCAAGCTTTCCATCACCACTGGCTTATGGCAAAGCACAATCTGCGAACGCGTATGTAGCCGGTCAAAATATAGATGGGCAAATATGTTTTTAGTAATATCGAGGAGTATCTTTAAGACACAAGCACTTCTCATAAATTTACTTACCTATAATTTTTGAGGGTGGCCAAGGCGCTGGCACGTCCAAATCCAGGTCTTCTAAATCTATCGTACACTGATCATCATCCACTTTACTGAAGTCTATCTTGAAATTTTCTGTCGTTTTGTCGCTAAATCCATGCGCATCTGCTTCCCGTCTTTCATTGAGAGGACCAAATGCTGCTATAACACTAACCTGAAAAATTCAAACGCAATTGAAATAACTCATTGCAGCCAGTCACTAGCATCTAACTCTAAAGTTTTGACTCCACTCACTCACTTTAGCCTAACAAGGACTATCAGATATGGTCATCCAAGGAAGACGAAGGGGGAAGCAGAGAACAGGAAATGCGTTGGTTGGAAGGGTGCCCAGGCATTGTCAAATAGAATTCGAGAACTCCAAATTGATCCCGGCTAAGAACGATATCCTTACCTCTCCTTGTAGTGGTATCGGTTGATCATTAACAGCTTCGTTTGTTTTCAATGGACGTCTGAACGTGATCGTAGTGATATCGTTTTCGCGGGAGCCCCATATGAGTGACACATCGTTCTTTCCTCCAACTCGGTCATCAGGACAAACTCCTCGTTCTCCATCACATTGGGAAGGATGAGACATGTAGTAGTCCATCACGCTGAACTGTTGTTCGGTTGGATCAAAGTAGGCTACTGCGACATCACCTCCAATCTAAAACAGGACGGCACCAAAACAAATCAAAAGCTCTAGGTAAAGCCGAATATGCGGACAAGGCAAGAAGTGACTAGTCAGATCGCAGGTGACCTACGAGTTTGATAAAAACCAGAACTGATTCGGAAAATGCTTTAATGAGACATGCCCATCTGACTTCAGCCTCCCATCCTAACCGTGTCGAACTTCGTATATCCAGAACTGGCCGATATGACCGCTCCTTTATCCCTATTGTAGAACAATCTACCTGAGGAAGCTTTTCCCAGTCCTACTAACCGTAGGTAGTTCGGAAATAGAATTAAAAAAGTTTCCAGAGGGGTGAAACTCATATTGGCGAATGGGAAACAAAGCAGTGTTGCTGGTGCATAATATGACAACCATGTCGCACCCTCAAAAAATGCCGACTTATTCACAACTGACGTTGTCTGATTTAAATTTCCGGTGGGTTTCTTCATGTGCTCTGTGGTCTGTAACTCTGTGCTTTGCAAAAATAACCTTACTTTTTTCATTTTTTCTTAACATTTCATTTTAATTAAATAAAGTCCCTATTATGTTATTTGAGCCATATGCATTTTGTTCGGAGTTGTGAAGTATAACAATGTTAGTACAGAAAGCTGTAATACCTATGTTTGTAAATACTATAAGACAAACTCCACATCAAAACTTTTTAAGGTGATCCAAGTCATTAGCCAAGCTTCTGGCAGATTCTGAGGAAGATCAGAGATGCAGCGGTTACTCATTTTAGGAATGTAATATTTGAAGATCGCACCTATTTGTATCTCCACATCACTCTTTGAACAGTGGATCGCCACGAAAAGTTCAACAGCTGACGTTGTCAACCCCTGAGGTCCTGAGAATTATCAGAAGCTCAGAGATTACTTCTGGTCTAACCAAAAGGCACAGCTCTGAAGGATATTTGCAGAACATAACATTTGTAAGTTTTTATATGACTCGTTTTAAATCAGGTATTGTCAGAGCAGTAGAGTTGATAAGTGAAGCTCACTATAATTTTAATGAAATCTCCAAGTATTGTTATTGAACAATAACATGGGTGCCCGCAGGGGGCTGTGGTAACAGTTATCTCTTGATGATGATCAGCACATCTCAGAAAAATTCCTGTGGGTACCCGTGGACAATCATATTATTGTTCTCGTAAAAGAAGAAATCTGTGAATTGTAGTAACATATCAACACAATTCAATTTTTTCTAATTTTTGATCTATGCAGGTGCCAACAAAGGCTGGGGAATGAAAACATCTGGACCATAATGATGTTAATACTGATTTGTTTGTAGAAAAATGTATGAGATTAATATTACAAATATATATTTAGGTATTTGCAGTATATGTTTTTCTTCTGAACCAGATTAGTAAGTAGATGTAAGTGATCTTATAACAGCTTGTGTTATTGACGTTGCTATTTTAACATACAAAAAATCATTTATTCGTCAAGATAGCGCAAAATGTTAATAACACATGCTGTTATAAGATCTCTCATATCCCACCAAATTTCTATATATAAAAGTATAGCAATCTCAGATTTATATGTAGAGCTGGCAGCGTTGCGGGATATTAATGCACAATCTGGCAACCATGTCGAACCCTCAAAAAATGGCCGCTGACAACCATACAAGTCACCGTGTTGCCATTGAATAGCATGGAATTAAACCTTCTTCAGTATATATGTTTTGTGAAAGTTTCTTTAAGCTCCTCATAGCAGCCGCGGTGTCCTCGTATGTAGGCGACTGCCTGCACGGCTGCTTCGGTGAAAAAAGTAAGCCATTTTCGAGTTATTCATTATACGTATACTAAGTGACATATAAATCCGAACACCCAGTTTAAATGGTTTTATTTTAATAAAATTTTGTATAAGTACTTAATAAAGCATAATAAGTAAATGATAAAAATTTCAAAATGATTGCACTGCTTTAAAGCCCTTTGACCTTTAATAATGTGTGGATGCACCCTGATGTGCTACGCATTCTCCAACGCGCCTAGGCATGCTTCTGATTAGGTGGTCAATGTCCTCCTGTGGTATGTCATTCCAGGCAACCACCAACTCCTCTCGAAGTGCTTCTAGAGTCTGAGGAGGACGTTGCAAATTGAGCAATCTCCTACCCATCATATCCCACACGTGCTCAATTGGGGATAAGTCGGGAGATCTTGGTCTATTGTGACTTTTGCAACATGTGGTCGGGCATTATCTTGTTGGAAAGTTGGATTTGCCAGGGTGTCAAGATAGGGTAAAAGATGGGGTTCTAGAACTTCGTGGATATAACGCTGCGTGTTCATGTTACCTCTGATGAAGATTAAAGGTGACTTGGAACCATAAGCTATAGCACCCCAAACCATAACTCCAACAGTGTAATGAACATGTCTTTCAACAAAAAACTGTGGATTCCTCCTTTCACCATGTCGCCTTCTAACCCTGGCACGACCATCGTGCATGCCTAAATAAAATCGAGACTCGTCACTGAAGACAATACTGTTCCATTCCTGATCCCAGAGTGACCGTTGTCTGCACCACTCAAGGTGATTGCGTCGGTGTTCTCGAGTTAAAGGGAGGACCCAGTGTGGCCGGTATGAAAACAAGCCAAAACTTCTCATTCGTCGGTAAACACTTCGCATGCCAATAGGTCTTCCGTGTTCTGCAAACCATTCATTTGCAATGGACCTGGTAGTGGAGAAACGGTCCCTTAAGGCCAATAATCTTAGGCGGCGGTCTTCACGGTCTGTTGTTCTACGGCGGCGTCCAGTGCCCCTTGCTCTTTGCGTACGGCCTTCTCGAAGCCATGCCTGACAACACCTAACCACAGTGTCTATACTTCTTTGCACTCTAACTGCAATTGCCCGAAAAGAAAGTCCAGCTTCCCGAAGTCCCACTATACGGCCCCTATCAAACTCACTAAGTTGACGAAATCGTACAGGTCTCCGTACTCTAGGCATCGTAACCGATCGTAAATGATGTCAAGAACCAAAATCCGCCAACGTTGATTCTTTACTGCGGCTGAAATATTCATTTTTAGAGCGTTCGTGAATTAAAAAAAAGCAGTATAAAAACCGGAATGTCCAACTGATCAGGCTGAAAATTTGTTCACTTGTTATTTACAGTAAGATAAATAAATTCACCAACTTTTATTAAAATAAAACCATTTAAACTGTGTGTTCGGATTTATATGTCCCTTAGTATATTAGTCAAATGGTACAAATTACCCTACCTACCATTTGCGATCGGTCAGGCGATCCCGATAGCCCGAAAGCAACGTACTGGTCTTCTTTGATCTTCGCCGATAAAGTGATGACCACAGAGTCGTCTTCTAGTTTCCACCGCACTTGCAATCGCTTATCGAGGTACTCGCGACAGTTGGTCGGCAGCATCGTGCGGGGCGTAGTGCTGGTCTGCAAGGCAAATTAGTTTCTAAGTTAACAAGAAACTTAGTAAGTAAGGGTCGGAGAATGTTGACCTTACGAAATCAAACCTCAATAGTCCTATAACTGCCTTAAATCATATATATATATATATATATATATATATATAGCACTAGAACAATTAATATCCATTTCTCTAACGCTTATTTGTAGTAAGTTGCTGAAGTATAGTTCCTGAGGCGAATGTCGCACGATAAGTATTTATCATGGAATTTGATATAAAAGGTGTTCCATCTATTGCTTCTTTTTTCAACTACCATTTTTTGAATGTTTAATGTGTCAACTGCCATGTGTTTAGCACATATGAACTGTCAAAGATCTGCTATTTGTCATTATGGATTCTTTAACAACGCAAGAACGCATTTTGGTCGTTCAAAAATATTATGAAAACTGACGATCCTTAAAAAGTACTTTTCGAAAACTTCGTGATGAATTTGTTTGACATAATCATCCCACAGAGCGTGGAATTCGGTGGATTATCAATTGTTTCAAGGAAACTGGCTCAGCTGAAGGTCGTAGAACATACTGGTATCAACATGCCCGTCCGGTACGTATACGTGAATTAGTGGCCAACTACATTATGGAGGATTTTGCATCCTGATCTCATACAAAACCCAACTAACTCAACAATTGAAGACAGCGGCGTATTTTTTTTAATTGGATGCTTGAAAAAGGAGAGGGATTTTCCGCTAAAATCATTTTTTCAGACGAGGCTCATTTTTACCTCAGTCGCCACGTAAATAAGCAAAACTAGGATTTGGAGTTCGGAAAATCCACACGAGATCCATGAACAGCCTCTCCATGATCAAAAAGTAACTGTTTGGTGCGGATTATGGGCTGGTGGCATCATTGGACCGTTCTTTTTCGAGGATGAAGAAGAAAGAGCCGTTGTGGTCACCGCCGAAGATTATTGTGGTATGATCACGGATTTGTTTTGGCCGAAATTGGAAGGTATTGATGCCAACGACCTTTGGTTCCAGCAAGACGGTGCAACGTCGCACACAGCTCGCCAAACAATCCAGTTATCGGCTGAGAAATTTCCAGATCGCATTATTTCGAGAAATTCCGACGTGAATTGGCCTCCAAGATAGTGCGACTTAACGCCACAGAACTATTTTCTCTGGAGATTTTTGAAGTCATCGAAAATTTTGATGTTCGGATGATGTCAACGGAGCCGCGGTGGACATATATATGATATTATATTCCATACATAAATGGCAAAGACCGACCTACAATTTTTAATAAAGAGTTCGGTTTCTCACTCATAAAAAGTGTTTTTCGACACTGACAGAATGATAAGTAAATACTGATATTCCGGACCACAGTTAATATTGATCGTGTGGCATTCGCCTGAGATCCATGGTATACCTCTTGATATGATTATTTAGGGATCTAAATAAAACGGAGTTGAATACTTACAGGGTTATACCACCAAGGCGGCTGAAAAAGATTGAAAGCTTATGTAGAATCGCAGTGTCATTAAAATAACGGTGCATGACAATTCAAGTGTAGCAATAAAATAGACAATTTTCTAATACTGATCTCGAAGAATCATAAAATCTACGTTTATCATATAAGAAACAATCTAAACAAGGATATCAAATGGTGCCTAATCCACTAGTTTCAGAGAACTTCTCCGCTAGCAAAATAAAGGCATAATAATAATAATAATAATAATAATTCTTCATAAAGGTGCTTCCACTTTTTATGTAATTTCATAGTGCAATATCTAGGGAATACGCCTGCTGTACTTACAGATATCTTTGTCTGTCCAAGTGCTGGTGGAACATCAAGATCCTTCGGTATCATTACGTGTCCAAAGTTCAGTCGATACTGCACACACCACACGGACATCCAGTCAATGTCATATACAGTTAAAGATCCAGGAAGTTGTATTTCAATATCTTCACCCTGATAGCTCCTATAAAAGTGAATGTGATAACTACTACGAATTTCTGCAAGTTTGATCACGTTTAGCGGAGGTTGAATAAATGTTTATTATGATAGTTATGTCTTTTTGTCCCAATTTCAAGCAATCGGTTAGTCGATTTGTTGTCCAATAGGGACGCAGGAAAGTAAACGTCAATTTGGCATAGACGCCATCTTTGTTTTCTGTCACCGACATGTCACTTTGTTAGTTGAATGTTTACCATTGATCGCTATGGAGTCGTATTCGATTGAAGACCGCATTAAAGTTATTCAAGAGCACTACAAAAATGGTGCAAAAATAAAAAACACGTTTCGCGCGCTTCGTGAACATTTCGGTCGCAACAACCGCCCAAACGAAACAACCATCGGTCGTCTGGTGCGTAAATTCGAGGCAACAGGTTCTGTGGCAAATCTACCAGGCTCTGGCCGGCCAAGGAGCGTTCGCACACCGGAAAAGATTGCTGTTGTGAAGGAGAGTGTGAGAGACGATCCGAAACAATCAACAACGCGTCGATCCCAAGAATTGGGCATTTCGAGAACCAGTTTGCTCCGCATTCTCCACAAGGATTTGAATGTACACGCCTACAAGATCCAATTGACGCAAGAGCTGCGTCGGGCCGACCATTTTTCGCGCCGAACGTTCTCAGATTGGCTCCTTAAACACCGCCAAATTGATGCCAATTTTTCATCAAAAATCATGTTCAGCGACGAAGCGCATTTCACTTTGAATGGGACGGTAAACAAGCAAAACTGCCGCATCTGGGCGAACGAAAATCCCCGTGAGTATCAAGAGCAGCCGATGTATTCTCAAAAAGTGACTGTGTGGTGTGCATTGTGGTCAAAAGGCATCATCGGACCTTACTTTTTCGAAAATGCGGCCGGGGACGCCGTTACCGTCAATTCTGAGCGATATCACGTGATGATAGAGGACTATTTTTTGCCGCAACTTGAAGGAATGGATATGGACGATGTTTATTTCCAACAAGACGGTGCAACATGCCACACAACCAACGTCAATATCCATCGATTGCAGTCCTTCTTCGGTGATCGCGTGATTTCGCGCAGAGGAAATGTGCCATGGCCACCAAGATCGTGCGATTTGACTCCCTTGGACTTCTTTTTATGGGGATATTTGAAAAGCAAAGTCTACGTCAACAAACTAGCCACCCTCCAAGAACTCAAAAACAACATCATTGCCGAGATAAATGCCATAGAACCGACCATGTTGCAAAATGTCATTGAAAATTTCGACCATCGCGTGGACGTCTGTAAATCCAGTCGTGGTGAACATTTGAGCGATATTATTTTTCATACATAAATGGTATAAATGAACCTTCAAAATAAAGTACCCAACTTGATTTGAATATCAATCTTTCTTGTTTTAATATGCGTTTACTTTCCTGCGTCCGTTTTGGACAAACCCCATATTTGTGCTACCACTTTTGGTAAAGTGTTAAAAGAGGGGTCGAGTCGTACATTTCAAACATCAATCATGTGCTTTTTCAAATCTTGGTGATGAAAATTCGAGACTGTCAAGAATTAAAGAGAAATATGTGGATCAGAAAATGTAACGGAACAAAAAATCAACTGATATTTTGAATCCTACTCAGACTGTAGCTACCTTAGTAGTGTAGAATGGGGTTATATTTTCTTGAAAATGACCTCCATAAATTTGAGATTCAAATTATGTATTTCGATAATAGCGGATAGCAGAGTCCGTATCTGTATATGGAAAGGCCATCCCCTAAAAAAATCTATGGTACTTCACTGTGATACACTAATGTTTTATTGCGCATGTGCTCCATTTATTGATCCCAGTGAAAATAGAAGCTTTTCTCGTCAGAGGTCAATGGCGTAACAAGTGCGTAACCATGATGCGATTTGGAGAGAATAGAGGCATACGAAATCGCTTTCAGAATCGTATATTAAGTCTTTTTTGTTCAGACAGCGTCAACTGCTTGGATCGTTAGCTGTCTTTATAATCGTCCTTAAAACATCCGTTGATGCTTCACATGTCATGGATCAAAACCTCATGAAACAAATAAATATATACAAGTAAACTCGAAATAAGAACATAGTATAGGGTTAAAAACAGGGTTGAAGAAATAAAAACTAAAAAATAATTCATCGCTTTCACGCTGACGGCAATAGTTCTTCCAACTTCATAGTTCATGATCGTTGCCTTTACTCCTATAATATTTCAATAAATGAGAAATAGCTTGTCTTGAGGTCAACTTGACAATCTGGCAGTTACCAGTTATCTGTCGAATGTTCATTATGAAATTTGCATAAAGTTCAATGCTCTGGGATGGAAGAATATACATTGGTACTGATAGAAGTGTCTGCATTACGATAGAAGTACAAGGGACTTCCGTCCCTGCTCTGGATACGCCATTGGTCGGTATCCTTGGTTGCCTATGTCCTCACAGAGGTCACAATTATAGATACGAGCTTTGGACTCAATAAAGAATAAAGGTATCATTGAAACGTAGAAGATATCATGCCTCCAATATCCAGAGAAATGTTGTCGTAGGTAGCATAAGCGATTCCACTGGAACTCCTATTTAGCCATGGTATATCAAGCTATTATGTACTAAGTTTTGTAAGTAGCTTACTGTTCAGTGCCGGCCTTAGCCACTCAAACAAAGAAGAAAATTCCGAATGAGAGTATATCTCTTAAAAGAAGTGGCATGATTTGGCAAAAATACTTTCTGTCAGTTGTAACAGCTCTAGAAAGCAATTTTTCACTACTCAATCTCTTCTGCACAGAGCCCAGTGTGGAGCACATATCTGGGAAGATGTTGCCCCGAATGTACTCTAACTGTTGGTAATCTGTGCCTTTCCTACCTCTACTTTATTTCCTGAGGTGTCCATAATGTTGCCACAGTACCACAGTCTAGCTAGATGGACACGCTTGGCTTCTTTTTCCCATTACAAGTCGATAGAGCTCTATACTTGGAATTGGATGATATGACAGAATATGAAATGTGGAATAAGGCCGCTGCAAGGTGATATTTTTGATTTCTTGGCAGAAGTCCCGGTAATTATACATATAATTTTTCGCAAATGGTGACAAATGTGATGTTGACCACTTTCGGTCCATATCCCTTATCAGTATTTTTCTCAAGGTCTTTAAAATTGTGTTATATAACCGCTTGTATCCATTAATAACCAGTCAAACATCAGCACGGACTAGATTGATAAAACTAGCAGGCTTTGGAGTTATCTAAGACACTATGAAGTTCTTCAGGTCTTACTTACTCGAACGGAAACAGTTTGTCTCTTACAGTGGCTTCAAATCCGAACTAATTACATCCGAACTCCATCTGGTGTGCCCCAGGGATCTAACTTGGGTCCACTATTATTTTTGCTATCTATTAATGACTTCTGTGAAGATTTGAGTTGTGAACGTTTGCGATGACATGAAAATCTACTCTACAATTGACAGCATGTGTGATTGTTTGAACTTACAGATGCAGTTAAGTTCAGCAGTGGATTACATCTCGATACAAGCATGTGTAAGATTGTCAGCTGCACTAGGAAAGTGACTACTCATTCATACAATTACAACATTGATGTATTGGTTTTGAAAAGGTGTAACCGCGTTTGAGATCATTTGTCATGAAAAACTAACTTTTAGTATCAGAAGCCTTGATGGATTTCTTGTTAGAAATTGTAAGCGATTCCATGACATAACGTCTTTGAGAGTATTATAATCCACTTACGTGCGCAGTAATCTTGAATATTATTATTTATTACCGAAAGAGTTCAAAGAAAAATTTTACACTTTTTGTATTTTAAATCTGAAGCGATTTACCCACAGCAAGGAATCAGTGACGCAGTTTTGATTTCAGAGGTGAAAAGGAATATATCATTTGCAATATTTCTCTTCAAATTATTAAATGATTATATTGATTGTTCTGAAATTTTGTTTCAAATAAATTGCGTTTACGTCGCGCTACTATATCACATTCAAACTGGAAAGAACCAGAGTCAATATGATAGTTGAATCTCCTATCCACGTTATGTGTAAACACCTGAACATCATTAGCTGTCATTGTAACATATTATGTATATGTTCCATCAACGAATGAGTTAAGATGGTACGTGAGCTAAACCTATCACTTATTTACCACTGTGCCTGATGTTTTCGTGTTCCTTGTTACCATTTCTTAATTGCCCTATAAGTGGGGTAACTGTTCGACAATAAAACTCATCATTATTATTTCGGTTTTGTCTTCTCGCTTGCCTGAGTATGAAAAATATGCGACGTATCTCTCCCAGACTACAACAGTTATCAAACAAATTCTCACCTAAGTGGATCCAATGAGCCCATCTCGTTGGGCACCTTGATTCCAAAGGAAGTGGGCTCTGACCCATTGCCCACCCAGAAATAAGCGTCTGGTCCGTTACCGTCATAGTGCAAATTGGGAATATAGAATGTCTTCGCGTCCAGAATGCTGATGTTGTCCGACCTCAAGCCGTGTGCTAGTCGTTTGAATTCGGGAAGTACGCGAGGCTTAGGTACCTCTATGTTTGATGGGACGAATACCTCGCCGAAGTCAACCTGAAACGAAGAATCATTAACACCAGGTAAAAATGATTTTATATGAATAACATTTTGTAGTTAGATATAAGCAAGAGGAGGTCGTGATTAAATTTTGAGTTTGCGGTATCGCTAGATTTGGCTAATGGACAGGTGCCAGTCAGAATGCGTCGCGGAGAAAGACGTTACGTAAAGTTTTGAAAAAATAAAAAAGTAAGCCTAATGCCAAACACTAAAGAGCAGCTCAATGACAATATTCAACGTATTCTTCCCATAGTTTACTGAAAAGTTAGAAACGTAATCAGGTTTGTGCGGCTTCAGCTTATTATCGATAAAGATAAGAAAAATGAATCTATATCTTTTTAAAAATATTAGAGAAACAAATCAGTGAAGATATACAGGGTTATCCAAATTAAGTGTCCACCATTGGTAACTTTGTTATTAGTAAAAATACAAAGTTGTTTAAATTAGCAAACTAGTAGCATTTTTAACGCTGGTAAAAATGAGAAATAAAAAAAACAATTGAGAGTCGTTATTTTGATTTTTTTCAGTAAAATAACATTTTTTTAAATGGAAACCCCTGTATATTATATTTTTTTCTGTTAAAGCATCAAATTTTAAACAAAAAAGTTCATAATGACTTTTCCGCTAAAGTCAAAAATAAAGTCAAAATAACGATAAATATTTTTAATTATTTGCAGTATTATAATATTAAGACGGCTATGAAAACAACATGGCGTTCGCGATTTGACAGCATTAAGATAAGCGACAAATTGTTAAACTGGACATACTCGCAACTAGAAGGCTTTGGAAAACAATGATAAAATCAAATAATGTCAAACATTAGTGTAAATACTTGTTTATAAGCTTTATTGTGTCATTAATTTAAAGAAAAATGTTCTCCCATGAAGAAAAGTGTGATATGTTAGAATGCTATTTAGTGTGCAGAAAATCCTCCTTGAGAGCAAGAGAATACTACAGTGAATTATATCCCGCTCGCATTCAACCGTATGAACGATATTTTCTGAGACTTTATCGAAAATTTAGGGGCAACGAAAATGTTTTTGCTAAAACAAGGGCAAAAAAAGAATTCATAATAAGCGAGGCCACGGAAATTGCAGTTATTGGATATTTTGAAGCTTATCGTGAGAATTTAATAGCAGATATTCTCAAGGACTCTAATTTCAGTTATGGTACTGTTCAAAGGATTTTAAAAAAATACATATTTATTCCGTATAAGTACCGACCAGTTCAAACGCTTTTGGCAGGGGATCCAGAGAGAAGACTTGTTTTTTGCCATTGGTATCTTAGCTTCTGTCGCCAAAATGTAAATAACTTTCGTTACCTTTTATGGACAGATGAATCAAATTTTCCAATTCTGGAATGTTTAATAGAAAAAACCACCATTATTGGTCAAGAGAAAATCTTTTGTTAGTACATCCAAGAGGCCCACAAGTCCGTTTCAGTTTCAACGTTTGGTGCGGTATAATTGGTTCAAAAATTGTTGGCCCGTTCTTTTATGAGGGAACCCTAACTGGTGAAAGATATGTGGAATTTATGTCAGAAATTCTGACTAATTTCTTAGACGAATTGGATCTTATAAGTAGACATCATCTGCATTTTCAGCAAGATGGCGCACCTGCCCACAACTCCAGAGGTACTTATCATTTTCTAAGTACTACTTTTAATGATCAGTGGATAGGAACAAATGGCCCAATACAGTGGCCTCCCAGATCACCAGATCTAAACCCACTTGATTACTTCTTGTGGGGTTACTTAAAGAACCAAATTTACAAGCGAAGGTACGATAACCTTGACGCGTTAAAGACTGCAGTTAGGGAAAAGATAACCCAGATAGATGGTAGGACCATACTTAAGACAGTTCGAGCAGTTGAAAAACGTGCCCAAAAATGTATTGAAGAACAAGGTGGTGTTTTCGAGCATCTTCTTTAAAAAAAATTGTTATTGTATTTTGTAAGATTATAAGTTGATGTTGAAAATAAAGTTTGTCGATACAATTTAATTGTTTCAGATTGGAGGCCATAACTTCAACAATTTGTAACCTAGGAGAAAAGTTATTGTAAGCTTTTTTGTTTAAAATTTGATGCTTTAACAGAAAAAAATATAATATATAGGGGTTTCCATTTAAAAAAATGTTATTTTACTGAAAAAAATCAAAATAACGACTCTCAATTGTTTTTTTTTATTTCTCATTTTTACCAGCGTTAAAAATGCTACTAGTTTGCTAATTCAAACAACTTTGTATTTTCACTAATAACAAAGTTACTAATGGTGGGCACTTAATTTGGATAACCCTGTATAGTACACTGACCATTCTGTATTTTTGTCACAGAAACCCATTTTCGATTGGTGTTGTCGATTGGGGATCACAAAACACCTGAAAAATCCTTAATTCTTAAATTTCCTAAAAAAAAAACGCTGCTTCCACAATTCCGATGAATAGGAACGGGGTAAAAACGTTGACACCATTCTATGTGATCGTAAAATCGAGCTAACAGCTAAATTTACCGTAAACCGCCTGCACCATACGGAGATCCATCGGATATCCCGTATCCTCTTCCCCATTGGTAGCCTGAGAATCAAGTCGCTGTTGTTGTGAGCCTGTAATACCGGCGGATCCCTGAAACAAAAGAAGAACATAAGCACATAAGAAACCGACAACTCTCAGAATTAACTGCAAATCCCGTTAGGGAAGCCAAGGGAATACGGTAAGCAAGAGGGGAAACGAACCGATCACATTATGTTGAAAGTGGATAAGAAAATTACGATAGAGGCTGTATGGGAATCACTGACGGTGCTGTACCAATTTGAGTAAATCCGTATACGTTCATTGTAGATTTGCAATTCATACATACGACCGAGGAAAAGATACGCTCGAAATATTACTAATTTTAAATAGTGTTGAGATTTTTTAGAATAAAACAGTTTATACAGACCGCTCAAAAGCCCTATTACAGTAGGACCCCGATTAACCGAAATGATGTGGACCGGAGTGCTTCCGGATAATCGAAAACGGAAATAAATATTTAGACACAATGCTTTTATTGAAAAAAGCAAGTGAGTGTGTTAAATGAGTATGTACCTATATAAAGTTACGTAAAATATAAACATGTGGATACAAACATACATATCGTCGTCCCCGCACGTACAGGCGTAAATGACAAATAATCTAAAATCTAGTTACGCCGTAATTTCACAGATTTTTTTGTAGTCTCTTACTTCACGCAGTGACGTAGCTGCATATCAGTTCTCTGCTAAGAATTAAAATTTTCAGTTAATTGCCTAAGTTATAAAATTCCGAAAACAATTTTCACGTACCGGCTTAAATAGATTTACGCCTCTGCGTTAAAACTGGTTCTACATCACTTTAGTCTAACAAAAAGAAACAGAAACGTTCAGACTGAAAAATCAGTATGTCACTTTCAATCTCATTTGTTGCTGATTTTCGTTTTCTAGCTCTCCTGTAGAATTTGTAAAATGTTAGTTACGCCGGTACAAGTGGAGACCGACGCTATTTACGAGTACATATATACTAAGTGACATATAAATCCGAACACCCAGTTTAAATGGTTTTATTTTAATAAAAGTTGGTGAATGTATTTATCTTACTGTAAATAACAAGTGAAAAAATTTTCAGCCTTATCAGTTGGACATTCCGGTTTTTATACTGCTTTTTTTTAATTCACTAACCCTCTAAAAATGAATATTTCAGCCGCAGTAAAGAATCAACGTTGGCGGATTTTGGTTCTTGACATCCTTTACGATCGGTTACGATGCCTAGAGTACGGAGACCTGTACGATTTCGTCAACTTAGTGAGTTTGATAGGGGCCGTATAGTGGGACTTCGGGAAGCTGGACTTTCTTTTCGGGCAATTGCAGTTAGAGTGCAAAGAAGTGTAGACACTGTGGTTAGGTGTTGTCAGGCATGGCTTCGAGAAGGCCGTACGCAAAGAGCAAGGGGCACTGGACGCCGCCGTAGAACAACAGACCGTGAAGATCGCCGTCTAAGATTATTGGCCTTAAGGGACCGTTTCTCCACTACCAGGTCCATTGCAAATGAATGGTTTGCAGAACACTGAAGACCTATTGGCATGCGAAGTGTTTACCGACGAATGAGAAGTTTTGGCTTGTTTTCATACCGGTCACACTGGGTCCTCCCTATAACTCGAGAACACCGACGTAATCGCCTTGAGTGGTACAGACAACGGTCACTCTGGGATCAGGAATGGAACAGTATTGTCTTTAGTGACGAGTCTCGATTTTGTTTAGGCATGCACGATGGTCGTGACAGGGTTAGAAGGCGACGTGGTGAAAGGAGGAATCCACAGTTTTTTGTTGAAAGACATGTTTATCACACTGTTGGAGTTATGATTTGGGGTGCTATAGCTTATGGTTCCAGGTCACCTTTAATCTTCATCAGAGGTAACATGAACGCGCAGCGTTATATCCACGAAGTTCTAGAACCCCATATTTTACCCTATCTTGACACCCTGGCAGATCCAACTTTCCAACAAGATAATGCCCGACCACATGTTGCAAGAGTCACAATAGACTTCTTTCAACATAATGATGTCACATTGTTACCATGGCCACCAAGATCTCCCGACAATTGAGCACGTGTGGGATATGATGGGTAGGAGATTGCTCAATTTGCAACGTCCTCCTCAGACTCTAGAAGCACTTCGAGAGGAGTTGGTGGTTGCTTGGAATGAGATACCACAGGAGGACATTGACCACCTGATCAGAAGCATGCCTAGGCGCGTTGGAGAATGCGTGGCACATCAGGGTGCATCCACACATTATTAAAGGTCAAAGGGCTTTAAAGCAGTGCAATCATTTTGAAATTTTCATCATTTACTTATTATGCTTCATTAAGTACTTATACAAAATTTTATTAAAATAAAACCATTTAAACTGGGTGTTCGGATTTATATTATGTCACTTAGTATATTTCGTCGGTAAAATTTTATAGTTTAGGCCCGTTTCGTCGCAGTTGTAAATTTGTTCTGGATTTTAACCATACTGCTTCATTAATTCTTCAAAATGTTCTCCAAATTCTAATGCAGCGGTCTTAGGGGGCAGATAACTTTTCTCCGCAAACTTTTAATTCTCGTATACCGTGTCGTTTTTTTCCATCTATGCAGCCAACCATCACTGACTCGATAACTGGCAACTCTTCACTTGAGTTGACTGTCTTTTGCTTTAGAATTGGTCCGGAAATTGGTATTCCACGATCTCGATTCTATGTAAACCACAGATCTAAAGTATCATCCACTTTTTGATATTGCCCCTTTTTCAAAGTTTTCCGTGATGGCTGCGATGATGTCAGAACACTAGACCACTTTTCAATTTTCTCGCGTCGTTTTTTTCCATTCTGAACACGATCCAGCTATATTGACTTTCGGCTAACTCTTAACTATGTTATGGTGTAGCTCTTCAGAGAAGAAGAAATTGAAATACATTAAGTGATTGTGGCATACTCCCTGATTATTTCAACTGATCAATTCGATCAACCTCCTATTTGTTTGTGACTTATAACTGTAACTAAAGAACCCGAACACATGTTTTGCTTTATACAAAACACTCTACAAGCTTATATGGCTCAGTTCCTCCAAATCGCCGAATAGCGCTGTGGTTGTTCAATACGAGGGTGGTCCCAGAAGCACCCGACCCAACGAAGAAAACACAAAATTTTTGTAAAAAAATGTATCTATTTTTCAACATAATCTCCTTTGAGTTCTATACACTTTTCCCAGCGATGTTCACTAAGTTCGATACCCTTTTTATAATAAGAACTGTCTTGCTCCTCAAAATAGCCATTAACTGCCGACATCACTTCTTCATCGTTGGAAAATCTTTGACCACCGAGTCATTTTTTCAAGTTTGGAAACAGAAAATAATCAACGCGCATCACAAAAAACCGACGCCATAACCTTGCCTGCAGATGAAACGGTCTTCGCCTTCTTTGGAGCCGGTTGTCCCTTTTGAGTCCATTGTTTTGATTGTTCTTTTCTCTCGGAAGTGATGGACACATGTTTCATCCATGGTTATGAAACGACGCAAAAATTCTGCTTTGTTGCCGTGAAACTTCGCTAAACACTCAATTGAAACATCTCCACGACACTGTTTCTGCTCGATTGTGAGCAATCGCGGCACCCATCTTGCGCATAGCTTTCTCATGTCCAAATTTTCAGATAATATGCGATAAACCGCACTTTTTGAAATGCCTACTATGTCTGCTAGCTCGCGCACTTTCAGTCGACGATCATTCAGTACCGCTTTGTGAATTTTCTTAACCACGTCGTCACCTCATTGGATCGACCACTGCGATGCTCGTCTTGGCAGCTCGTACGGCCTCGTTTAAACTCTGCTACCCAATATTTTACTGTTGTAAACGAAGGAGCAGACTCACCCAGAGTAGAATCCAATTTAGTTTTTATATTGGTTGGGCTGAGGCCTTTGAAATAACAGTATTGTACCACATAACGATGACCAATTTTCTCCATTTTCACAAATTCACTGAAATCGTTTAGTATGGATGGCTACCAAACAAATACTAAACAACGTGGTGTCTTCAAACGTGACACATCTGCTTTATAGGTTGCATACTTTCTAATACAATGATATTCTACTATCGCCATCTCTAGGTCAGGCCGAGTACTTCTGGGACCACCCTCGTACCTAAAGAGTTTCTTCATTTGGATGCTGATGCATTTCATATCAACTACAGTCTTTGTTTGTAAATAGTTGTCAGTTTTTCCTGTAACAGCCCTTTGCGTCCCACAAGCGAGAGTCTGCTCAGCCCCGAGCAAGTAACTCCAAGTCACAATCGTGAAATATTTTATGGATGCGCCTTTCCTAACCATTTTTGTAGTACCTTTCGTACCTAATAGCCCACCAATTTACACTTGACACTACGATGGTATCATTACCACTTATTTCAGAATTTATCAACCCTTGTTTAGTAAAGCAAACTTGGATCGAACGCGGAGCTTGTTTAGTTTGAGATGTTCCACGTCCATGCCCATTCCACTAAATTTTTGGAATCCGTCTGTGCTTTACTAAAATACAAGCTAATAATATAGTACATGGTAGTTTCTGGAATCTTTTTTTTTTTGTTCCACGTTATAATAATTTCCCACGAGCTCAGTGGACTTAACAAAAACGTTCAGTTTCAAACGTATCATCCCCCAGCAGTGCGGCAAACAAACAGACTGCATACGCCGCGCTGGTCGGCCGACAAGCGGTAACCCAAAAACGTTGTCATAGTTACAAAAATAATCCGCTTAGGACGTTTGAAATGATAGCAGCAAGTCATTTAATGAAACGAAGGAAGCATTATGCGGGATGAAAAGGGATTCGACAGAGGAAACTACCTATTTATCTCCACTCCACTCCCCAAACAGTGACGTATCATATCTGACCTAAGACTGGTGATAAACATGTGATCTACAGTTCTCCTCCACCTCTCACAATTGCAACAAATATGGAAATAAGGCAGCGCGAAGCGTCATCTACCACTAGAATCGACCACTCCAAAAAAATTAATCGCAGCCAATCGGTTG